TGCCAGAAATGAGATAGTAGTCTGTATTTTTATTGATCTAAAAGCGGCGTATGACAATGTTTTGCTGGATGTTTTGGGCAGGAAGCTAAATGATGCTCAGATTGATAAATGGACTGTTCAAGTGATTCTAAAATTATTAAAACAACGCCAATCTATTTATTAGGTCTCCTCATTCTGGCATACTTAAAGGTTCTCGGGTCTCCCACAAAGGTTTCCCGCAAGGATCCCCTCTGAGCCCTATTTTATTTAATATATACTCTAATGACATAATTCAAGCCTTAAGTGATGACGTTCAATTTCTCCAATATGCTGATGATCTAGTAATTTTTTCGTCCCATAGGAATGTCAGTATGGTCATTAGTAGTTTACAAACCAACATTAATTCTCTCATGAACTGGTTGAGTAATAATGGGTTGAGCATATCCACTTCTAAAACCAAGACTGAATCTTATTATACACGCTCTTTTCGCGTGGAAAAAGGCCGAATCCGCCATTGATAATCACTGCCGAAGGGGAGGCGATTGAATGGGTGGAGAAGTATCGATACCTTGGAGTATTATTTGATAGACGACTCTCATGGAACCTTCATATTACGGAAGCCTGCGGTAAAGCGCAACGAGGAATAGATGTTATGCGTGCTCTATGTAGAACGTGGTGGGGCTCCCCTCAGTACACTTTAATAAACATCTATAAAGGCATAGTAAGATCCCATCTCGATTATGGAAGTCAAGCGATGCTAACGTTATCTAAGAACAACTCCCGAAAATTGGATCGAACGCAATATCACGCACTAAGGGTGCTAACGGGGTGCATGGAAGAGCACTCCAATACTTTTATCTGAAACTGCGGAAACCCCTCTGGCGAATCAGAAGAGCGTTGTTATCTGCAAAATTTGCCGCCAAAAAGATGGCAATTTCTGAAGACGCAACCTCAACCTGTCTTATACAGCTGTATACGTCTTATAATGAGAATTTGGCGTATTGGGCAAGAAGGGAGTCGCCGGCATTGATGGAGGGCCTGGACACAGTTGTTGTCTTTCACTCGTGTCCTGGAAAAAAGTAACATTCTTCCATGCTTTGAGATAGAGTTGGACATACAGCTACAGTGTTTGCAGTGGGAAAACTCGGGACTGGGAGTGCCCTTGATAACAATATGGCCTTTCGGGAATTTGTTTCTAAGGAACTTCTAGGGTATGAGCTGATTTACACGGATGCCTCATTGGATCCACTTTCTGGGAGATGCGGAGTTGGGGTTTTTAATGCATCAAGAAAATATTCGTCGATTGGTAGAGTTATGAGGAACACGTCAATCTGCTCGGCAGAAATGTTAGCTATTGAAAGGGCATTGGATGGTCTGGGGGACGATTTTGAGAAAATTGCCATTCTGTCGGATTCAAGGAGTGCTCTTCAGAGCATTTCACGTACGGATATTTCTTGTAGAGTAGGAAAAACAGCAGGAAGAATAAAAGAGCGAATTATTACTCTTATACAACGAGGAAAATCGATAAGACTAATTTGGATCCCCGGTCACTCTTATGTCGACGGTAATACGGAAGCAGATAGACTGGCATTCCTTGGAAGAAAGTCTAGGAACCTGGTGTATAATAAGATTCATTATTCGGAACTTTTTGGCATCATAAAGAAGGAAAGCAGGCGGGAATGGGCAAATTTATATCATAATATGGGCCAATCAAAGGGAGTTTTTTACTATAATATTGCTCTACAACCTTTCAATACCCCATGGTTTGGTAAATGTGCGGAGGAGAATCGTGAATATGTCAGTATGTTTTGTAGAATGAGATCGTCACATTGTCTCACTCCGGCTCACCTACATAAAATAGGTATCAAAGACTTTTCTATGTGAATGTGGAAGCAACGGTGACCTATCGCACGTCATTTTTGCTTGTAGTTTGAGAGCTCAAGCATGTCATGCACTATACTTGTCTCTAGCCAGTTGTATGCGTGCTCCCATTAGGATTCAAGATGTTCTGATGAATCCATTATCTAAAGAGGCAAAAATGGTGTATCTACCTCAAGCAAAACAATATTAAATTGTGAACTCGCTGTCACGGATCTGTCTCTTTCATGCCAATATTATTATAAGACTATTGATCTGTATTCTTGACAAACCTAGTGTAAATTAGTTTAGTTGAATAATTGAGTATATGAGAATGATAACTCGCTAAAAACCAAAAATATAATTTTACAGGAGAGCAAAAAAATTATTGAACTGCTCATTATTTGATCTGCTAAATTATTTTTATTTAAGAATTGATTGGTAATTGTTCTGAAACGTTCTTAGTGGTCAGACTGTATAAAATTTTATTTTTTCAGGAAAAAATGAAAAAAGAAAAAATGGATATATCTAGTTTTCATTCTTCATTCGCAAAACATACAAAAATACAACTTTTAATTTTTTCCTGTTCATTCATCACTGCTGTCGGATGCCTCGGTTTCACTTTCCCCCTGCTGTTGCTCTCCCCCGTCTTGAGTTTCCAAAGAAACATAAAATCCGTGATATGCTAGAGGAATGAAGTCTAGGAGTTCTCTTAGGTTTTGAAGTTTTTTTGGATTTACTGGAAGTTTCGTAATGTAGAGCTGGGGTACAGTCCATTCCTTTAACGCAATTAAATCTGCGTTTGGTTTGAAGGCAATGAATGTTCGATTTAGAGTATCAATGTTGTGACATGCAGAAACTGTGATTTTTTTTTCCTCATATTTAAAAGTTTTGTATTTTGTGATTGTAAAGTTTTTTATGGTTTTTTTAAAAAAAGGTTGAAAATATGAACGAAAGTCCCGAATCATTTTTGGAAGAATATTGACAACTAAAAAAGTCTGTGATGTTCTTGCTACTTTTGAGTACCATTCTTCCGGCAAGTAAAGGTATGTAACCTTGCGTTTTTCTTTTTCAAGGGCAAATTTACGATCACAAGGAAGGAATGAATGACCTCTTTCAGGAAATCGGTGGTATATTATATTAAACCTTCCAGTTGCGACCAAAGCAGATAACATCTGAACAACAACCATGTTCTTGTTCTGTCCAACACAGTTATCCGTGAAGATGTACAGCGTCTTAACAGAAGGATTAATAACACTGTCAACATAATGTTTTAAAAAAGATACTGTCTCATTCGCGCCTTTTTTTCCCTTCGACTTCATTGTACATGTACATATGGGAATTACCCGTTTTTGCCGAATAAAAACATTGGTTGAAAACCCATAGCTGCCTTTTATAAAAAATGTCACCTATCGGTAGTACTGGTACTGGCAAGTTTTGCTGGTTGTCGAAGCTGATAACATCCACTGTTTCGTCCGTTTTAGCTTTTTTACTTAACTGATTCAGATCGTCATAAAATTTTTGCGCTTTAGCTAGATGTAGAGAGTGCTCTCGATTTAATCTAGATTTTTCTTCAGGATTTTCCGCCACATCTATTTGATTTTTGAATTTGTCACATGTATTGCAGACATCCATTTTAGGTTTTCCAAACGAAAGATTCAATTTACTGTTGAATATGTGAAGGTAAAATTCATAGTTTATTTCAAACTTTGTGCTCTTATCAGCTTTCCATTGAATATATTTTTCAGGTTCATACCTTTCAACATACAGCTGGTGCATTTTCATGACACTCAATTCGGGCGACAGATATTTTCTTTCGGATTTATTTCTGGTGTAGTGAGAGATGCGAACGGGAAACGAATTTATATGTGACGTAATTTGTCGGATTTGGTCTTCTGATTTTTTTAGTGCCCTAGATCCTTCTGATAAACCTCTTTTGTCAATCGGAGGAGTGGAATTATTTTTCTTTGCTAGCCCTATTCGATCAATTCTACCAAACTTGATGCCATGAAGTCCCGCGAAAGCTTTTTTGCAAACAATTTGTTCGCGTCCTGATGCTAATACAACCTACCTACGACATAAAAAACTATGTTAATAACATAGTACAATCGGCCGGCCAATACCTCCTAAAAGTTCTTACCTTGTAATGAAAAGATGAGTTTCGTTTTGATGCTTCAATCAAATCGGCATCGGACACAGCATTATTTGCATTCGAATTACCTTTTTCACGTAGCCGCTTTCTCATAATGTCTGGTCGTCTTCTGAAAAAAAATTGGAAATTTCCCTTGTTTTGTTTTGTTTTTTTTTCCTATTTATTTTATTCATATTAAATAGTTTAAACATTAAATACCTAAGTATCTACCTACCTTGCAACAGACTTCACAGTTATTAGGCTAAATAGGTAAGAATCTTGCACATTTTTAACAGCCAAATCGTTGAATTTGCTAAGAATGCTTGTTTTTTCTTCGAATGATATTTTACTTGTGCATTGATTTTTGCAGCTACATTCATAACCCTGCCTTGCAGGGACATTTCTTCCGGTTGTGGAAATGTATGCCAGTCCGCTTTGAGGTTACGTTTCCTCTGAACACTTTTCCAGAGACTTTTATTTTTTTTCTCTTCCTTGTTTTGTTCTCTTCAATAATTTCATCACTCTCGGTATCACTTTCAACACTATCACTATTATCTAAATCGTCGCTCATTATCTCGGGATCACTCTCTCTGTCCGCCATAATTAAACGTCAAACGTAAATAAACGAAAATATGAGAATGACAGTTGGGTAAAAACCGGATATACCTAATTTTCATTCTCAATTGCCGAATCGGATATATATTTGCGCCATCCTTTGGCAAAACTATTAAGCGGTTATGTCTAGTTCTCGATCTAAGAGTTGTATTGGGTGTATATGAAAGGAAATCAGGCAAAAACCGCTTTTGGTAAAAAATGGTTTTTACCGACTTCTCATTCTGGGGTACTCAATTGTAGTCTGCTGGATGCTTTGCTTTGATTTTGTGGGTGATGAAGCTAGGTACGGTTTCTAGCGGTGCACGTTTTTCTTTTTTTTTTTTTTCGCTTTCTTTCTATTTTCTGCTTGGTAGATGGAATAATAGGAATATCAAGGAAAGAAAACCAAAGATGAATTAATATAATAAAACAATTTCAGGTTCCTATCATACATTTACTTCCTGGCGCAATCCTTCCACACAGTTACTGGACACGCCACAGTACATTCCTAGCCCACATTTTATATTCCTTCATTCTAGCAGTAACGAGCAGGAAGAGAGATACCAGAGGATAACAGATTTTATCGCGAGTGGAATAAATATTCAAACAAAGTGTAGTGCTGGCTGAATGCTGTAAGGGCAAGTGGCCATATATGGATTGGATCGGGAATTGGATGTTTCCAGAGTCACTGATCCTTTCCACAGAAGAAGAAGAAGAAGAAGTGTTCAGTATATTGTATTTTAATTTAAAATCTTAAACTAATGTTTTAAAAATCATATGAAAATCATGCATTTTCACATCAATAACATTATTACCAAAGTTAAACAATATAAGGCGAGAAAGCTTATTGGGTAATACAATATATTATTCTTTTAGTATTTATAGAAGGTACTAAATTATCACTGTTGTAGATTTTCAGAACAACAAATGTACAATGTTGTAGCGGATATAAAAAATTATAAAGCATTTTTACCTTTCTGCATAAAATCTACAATACTAGATCATAATGACAACATTCTCAAGGCCAATTTAGAAATTGGATTTCCACCTGTTACCGAAAATTACACCTCAAAAGTAACGCTGGTGGAACCAAAGCTTGTTAAAGCACAGTGCTACGATGGAAGATTATTTAATTATTTAGAAACAAAATGGAAATTTGCTCCAGGACTTAGAAGCAACCCAAAAACATGTGTTATAGATTTTTATGTAAAATTTGAATTTCGTTCTCTTTTGCATTCACAGTTAGCAACAATTTTCTTCGATAAAGTTGTGAAAGAAATGGAAATAGCTTTTATTAACGAGGCGAGGAATCGTTATGGTAAAGAATCAATTCCTACTCACCAATTAAATAAGCTGTGATAGATACTTGTCTTTGATGTGTTTGTAACTAATGATAAATGAAAATTGTTTTCAATATAGATAGAAAAATATATTTTACATAACAAATATTACACTAGTCTTACTTAAAAATTTAGAAAATTCTAAAAACCAACGTCTTTGAAATTAAAAATAATTTGCATAAAACTACAACAGTTTTAGATCTATTAAAGACATATAAAGAATTAACAAACATACTTAAGTAGTAAAGTATAGAACAGTAAGTCAAATTATCGATAAGTAAAGAATTAGAAAAAAAATATTCTCCAGACAAAAACAAAATAATACATAGTATAAATGCCAACAAATTTACAAATACCATAACTTGGTAGCTAATTCAGGTGACGGCTGGCATTTTACAAACTGTCCTACCATAGCAGCTAACTTGTGTGCATATTGGCAAGGTGCAGGCACCTTTATGGTTCCCGGCCAATTGTAGTACAAGTGGCAAAGTTTGTAGCACAGCCTTTGTATATGGTCGGGTTTAATGTTACAAGAATCATGGAGAACTAAAAATTGAAAATATATATAAATATCTCTACCGGGTGTTGCATCGTCGGACGAGACATAGGAAATCCCATGTAAATTTTAATGGGGTCAATTATTGGCTTCCCTAATTATTGTAGAGAATAATTCTATTTAGGTTTATTGAAGAGCACTAAAACCCACATTCAGAAGAATAACTTTAGATATTTTTGATTAGCTCGTTTGCGAGTTATCGCCGATTTCTTTTTAAATATTTCTCCTTTTTTATGGTCCTGTATTTACTTATGAGCACCAGTCAAGGTAAAAGATAACTGTCAAATAAAGTTGTCATTTCAGAAATTTACCTATTTAGTGCTTTATTATTATTGAAAACTCATCCCTACATCGGAAATCTTAAAAGATGTATTTATAAATACAAATTAATATGAATTAAAGTAAAATAAAGTAATCAATTACAAGGTTAATTATAGTATTATTACAATATTCAATAACTTATTAATTTAGGTACTATTAAATTGTTAGAACTTTAGGATTTAAGAAGATGTTCAAATATTCCTGCATCGACTGCTAGACAATAACCCAGGCGATCATAAAATTCTCTTCTTACATTCCCTAGTTGGTAAACTGAAATTCTATTGCATTCGGCAGAAATAGCATTTTTAACTCGTCTAGATTTGGGTATTTTTTATCCTTGTATATCCTGTTTTTTAAATGGCCCCAGAGAAAGAAATCATTTGGCGAAATATCAGGAGACCTTGCTGGCCAATTTACTGTATGATTTAGGGCCATAACGTTTCCGTTAAATCAAACCAGCCATCCATTTGGTACCAAACTTCCTGATTTTCTCTAGCGGCATCATGTAAAGCAGGTAAAATATGATTTTCCAGTAGTTCCAAATAATATTCTGCATTTAAATTTCGCGTAAGAAATAATGGCCCGATAATATTGTGTCCGAATATCCCTGCCCAAACATTTACTTTCTAAACCTGTGTTAGTTTTCTTTGTTCCAATATCGATAATTTTGAACATTGGGTTCATTATTTACGGTAAACGTGCATTCGTCAGTGAAACATGTTTTTTAAAAATTCCCTATCCGAGTTTGCTCTTTCCATCATATCAAAACAAAACGCCTGCCGCCGTATTTCGTCCCCATCTCGTAGCTCTTGGTGCTTTTCATATTTGAAGGAATAGTATTTATGTCGTTTCAAAATTCGAAACGCTGTAGTGTGATCTATTCCTATTTCATCCTCAAGTTTCCTTGTGCTGATCTTTCCATCGTTCTCTTCCACGCACAATAAAACTTCCAAGTCGGTATCATTTCTTGCATCTTCTCTTTGTTCCTGCCTTGCTTCACATCTGCAGTTATTTATTAGGGTACCTTTGGTCTCAAATCTCTGGATATTCCTTGCGGTTGTAGATTTTCGAGGTATCGGTCTATCCAGCAAACATGTTCGACACCTTTTGATAACTATTTCCTTGATAATACCATTTAATCATCAATACTTTTTCTTCGGTAGTGTAATTCATGGCTAATATTTTCCATGTAGGTATGAGTTTTTAATAATAATAATAAAGCACTAAATAGATAAATTTCTGAAATGACAACTTCATTTGATAGTTATCTTTTACCTTGACTGGTGCTCCTAAGTAAATACAGGGCCATAAGAAAGGAGAAATATTTAAAAAGAAATCGGCGATAACTCGTAAACGGACTAATCAAAAATATCTAAGGTTTTTCTTTTGAATGTGGGTTTTAGTGCTCTTCAATAAACCTAAATAGAATTATTCTCAAGAATAATTAGGGAAGCTAATAATTGACCCCATTAAAATTTACATGGGATTTCCTATGTCCCGCTCGACGATGCAACACCCGGTATATTCCAATAAAAGTACACCCAAAATATGACTTACCGATATAATGCGTAGGATTCACTGTAGCTTGTCTAACGTTCTGAGAAATCAAGAAGAAATCGTACAAATATTTGCTGGTAATTGTATGATCTACTACTGTTCCAGGCGGTGGATTTTCTACTTGGCCTAAGATTTTTTATTGTTAATTTTATATAAGGACTCTATGAATGTGTAACTTACCATTTCTGACTGAATGAAATATACGCGTACTAATCCGTTTCTGTACAATAACGAAGCAAATGTTGGTTTCGAATTGAAATGCTTTTAGCACATTTTGAAACTGCTTGAGTTCGTGTTCTTTGCAATGGTCTAATTGTCCATCGCCCACACCATCTCTAATAATGATAACTTTGCCAGGGTAAGAACCAGAATGAGCTTTATATTCTTCCAAAGCTTTAGTAAAGGCCATTTGATAGAAATCTCCTAATTCTTTAGACTGAAATAGGGCAGCGGAAAACCACCTATAATAAAATACATTAATATTAAGGAATCCAAAAAAATAAGATTTTTTAAAATCTTTTGTAGGAAAGAGAAACTATGTAATAAGAGTGTTTCAAAATATAAAAAAAAATTCTTATGGTGATGAAAAGATGAAAAAAAAAAGAAATGTACATTTAAAAACAAACATTTTGGCGCCTAGTAGAAACATCCCCTAATATTAATATTAAGGTTTGCCTCAATTTATTTGGTGTTTTGCCATTTAAATAACACGGAAAATTATTATTTTTATTTTTGAATTTTAATAATTTCGGAATGGTTTGTTTCCGCAACATCCTCGCGAGAAGATTTATAGGAAATTTCACGCTCTACAAAAAACGTGTGAAGGTCAAAGTCCCTAAGATCAACCGTCTCAAAGACCAAAAATAACACCAATCGAAAATTTCAAATATTTTCCAATAAAACTACAAAAAATATATATAATACTCCATATTTATATAATTTTTACTGTAAAATTTCTTAAAAACTTCAATTCTGTTAACCTAACTTGTTATTTTTTTTTGATGTATAAATTATAAAGGTTACATATATCAAATCAAATAAATCAGTTTTGGCTATCTTTTATAACAAATTTATTTTATGAAAGGCGCCAAAATTTTTGGTTTGAAATGTACTTTCAACTTTTCAACACCATAAGATTTTTTTTATTTTGGAACACCCTTCTATGTAACCAATAACTGAAATCAAACACTGTTTGATAAAAGTATATCAAAAGTATACGTCGTACAAAATAAAAACCGTTGCGGGCTATCGATTAAGCTAATAAATGTGTGCAGTGCTACCACTACACAAATATGGCCCTTGTGGAACGTTTTCAATGAGTTTTAAATCTCCCACTCGATATTGTGTTGGCAACGGCGAGGAAGTGGTTGCAGCGGTGCCACGTTTATTTGACATTTGCCAGAATTTTCTGAACGTTAGTTGAGAGTTGTGTCTCGTGTGTATTGAATCTTTTAAAACCTTTATCTATCGATCGAAAACTGTTGTTTTCAGAATATTTTGTGTAGTAGTTGTTAGTTTTTTCTTTGAAAAATGCCTAAGCAGTTAAATAGTCGGTGCCAAGAATTAGTGTCATCTCTGATACAATATTTTGAGAAAGAAAGGGACAATAACGGCAATAAACGGTATTATATTATAATAAAGTATTTTAAAGTAGACCAGTGAAGTGAGTTTTTTTTATTTTGAGAAACAAAATCTACTAATCTTCTATGGAAAATATTTATTAATCCTTGGAATATTTCAAAAAGTTGCCTATATATTTTATAATCATTTACCACTCTTTATAATAGATAATATTTTGAATTGCCCGAAACCCAGACTGTTATTAATTAAACAAAATGTTTAAAACGATGTTTTTAAGACACCATTACTTGTTTTAAATATTTGTTTATAACAGAGTATTAAATAGGTTTGGTGTGTAAGTGTTTATTTCAATAAAAAATGAGAAAAACTCTTTCAAAATAAAAAAACAACAACTATAATACAAAAGGAATAAAAAACAGAGTAATCAGCTCAACTTAATATTGTCTAAATAAACTATTAATTCTGTACTACTACTTGGAGGAGCACCATTAAGGTTTCTAAAATCAAATTAAGTTTAGTCCTTTGGCTTTATCATTACTCAACATGATATGGTTTAAAACAGAGTATAAAAGTGTTGTAAACATATTTTCGACTTTGTATTTACAATGTTCTTTAAAACCATAAAAAATTGTTTTAAACAATAAAAAAACATGTTTTGTTTAAAAATATTTTTTTTTCAGCGCTGCTTGAAACTATTTAAAACTGTTAACAATTTAAAGTTTATTTTAGAATTTTTAATAGATCTTAGATATAGAAAATTTTCCAAAAATATTTCTCTTCCGATTACAATCTGGCAACAATGCTGTCTACAATCAACGCACGTGCTCGATGACATGCAACGGTCTTTATTTTGTACGACGTATAGGTATTTACTGCGTTAGTAGTGAAAAAAACTTACTTGGTAAAATTTTCATTCAGATTACTAACAAATCCGCAAACTGATTTATTTTGCGCACCGTGGTATACGTCGATTCCGCATATCATCCACCCTTTAAAAGGAAATCTGAGCGTCCACAAGCTCCCTCCTAACTTGCAATTGATCTGTAGCGCTATTTTCAAAATGATCGATCGGACCTTATCTGGTTTCGATAACGTTCTCGCGTTAATCACTTGGGACGCTACAGGAAACTGGGCACAACACAGTTTTTTTATTACGGAATATCGGTCAGTTCTCATCGAAGGACATATAAAAACGGCGACCTAAAAATAATTAACACAATATTAATATAAAAACCCGCGACATACTTTATGATTTGTGAATTTACATGAAAGTCTTACCACATTTCGTTTATAGTGTCATATCTAATTTAGCTGTTTTTGAATATTCTACAGGATGCTTATAAATATGTCACAAATATTACGTTAAAAGAACTATTAGTTTAACAGAACTATTAAAACTCCATTTTCAAACGGAAGCACTGATTTTTCTTTTTTAGTGTATTTTTCATCAAAAATAAAAGTAACATTGTTTAAAGTTGTTTATGATTAGATACAATAGTTTCCAAAATATTTTCATAAAAAAATAGAAACAATTCGTGTTAATATATACACAAATATACAGGGTGGTCCGAACTGTATTCTGGAAACTTCGGCAGCATATTCTGCAGATAAAAATAAGTAAAAAAGTTCGCATAAATGTATGTCCTGAAATGCTTAGGTTTAAGCCGCGTCCTAGCTACTCGAACATATATAATTCACACTATATACTCGTAGCGGCAGGTCGTAAACGACGGCACAGCCCATCGCATCGGTCCCGAGGACTGAGGTGCGGGGAACAATGCGACAACCAGTTTGTTCTATAGATCTAGGATGCGTTTAGGTACTCGCTGTTTTTTCGAGTGCCCGGATTTCGAGTGCAAGCATTTTATTAATTAAATTAACCGGTAAACAGTTTAAGAACTCTTGTCGTTAAAGAATCAATATTTAGCAGGCGGAGGGTCACAGGGGTCCTTTGGTAGATTATTCGTTATAGTGTATTTTTAAGACCTGTATTCATTTTCAGCCGATTCTAACAGGTGTTTCTCAAAAGGGGCTCACTTTTTTATTTTTTCAGATAATACAACGAAATTTGGTTTGTTGTATGACATAAATCGCGGGTTTGATTGACGTATTCAATTACCTTCGGTCGCTTCCTGTTTCACCGGAAATGACTACAACTTTGTATTTTTAGATTGTATCCTAAGTACTTTTTTACTTTATTTGATAGAAAATGACATTCTGAATAGAATGACACCATACGTCAATTTTAGACAATTCCAATTAAATAAAAATAGCATTTTAAATTTCAATCTAGAGTACCAAGACTGAGTTAAAACTATTAATTTGTAATCAAAGAACTTTGGAAACATATATCTGATTGTGTAATTTTTTTTCGTATCCTTTCATGGCCGCTTAAAAGATACCCAAATCGTATTTTTAATGATAACTCAAATTTTTCAAATGGTACGAGGCTGGCTCAGCATATTTGAAAAAAGCATTTTTTACGAATAATTTGGGGTACCACATACATATTATTACATATATTTGGTACCACATACGTATTTGGAGTAAAATTGTCGTTACGTTTATTTATGGCCATTTTTAAATTGAAAATGTCAAAAGTTGACATATAATATATCATTCTATTTAGAATGTCATTTTCTATCATATACGGTAAAAAAATACCGAGGGTACCATTTAAATCAAAAGTTGTTGTCATTTTCGGTGAAATAGGTAGTGACCGAAAATAAATGAAAACGTCGATCAATCCTGATTTATGTCCTATACTAACATACCAAATCTCGTTTTTTAGCTAAAAAATTAAAAAAATTATAGAAGTGAACCACTTTTCAGGAACACCCGGTATATTTATTTCTAAAAGGGTAATGGTAAAATTTCATTTCCGGTGTCAAACTTCCTATTAAGTAGTAATTTTTAGTTTCACAATCCCATAATAATTCCGGTTTTTAATAAAAATAACCATAAAGGTCTTTATTAACAAAAATGAAATTACATGGACGAAGTCTAGCTACTTAGCTTTTCACACTCAACCCACAATAAAATTAAAATTATAAAATCTTTTCTTTGTGTAAACAAATTAGTTGTAAATGTTCACGATCCCAGTCAATAACTGCGTCCCCCATTGTCGAATACTCGATAAAAAATAAAAATCACAGCCGGACGCCCGAAATTAAATGAGACCCTTCTATAGAACAAGTGTCCGGTACAATGTCCGCCGAAATGCACGCCGTTCGCTCATTTTGATTTACCGACACCCGTCGGAAAAAGAACGCGCGCGCTCCAGCATAGGCAGACGCACGCTCTGGCGTACAAGCTAGCCGTTCGGCGCTGGGCGCTCCTTAATAGGCCTAGGCTAGCTGTACTTGTTGGCTTTATTATTTATAAATCTACCTATCTCACAATTTTCACTTAGTATCTGTTTAATTATATATCTTCGCGAACATTTTGTTCGAGTAGCTTGGACGCGGCTTTAGAGATACAGGGTGTAGAAGTTTTTTTTATTTGACCGAAATAATAAATTTTAGGATTTTTTTTTAAATAAATCATAAATTTTTCTGCGAACAAATGATGATAAAACAGGCCCTGTTGAATTTTTGGTACAAAAACATTTTAAATTTATTATTTCAGTCTAATAACTATCTAGTCAACACGTTTGATTTATGTCAATGATGACAGGTATTGATAATTTCTATTCCAAATATCTCGAGAACCATTACTCGTACCGATTTTTACCAAGAGACCTATTTTACGTAAAAAACATCGTAAATGTGTATTTTTTTACTCAGTAGTTTTATACAGGTACGGACGAAAAGTTATTACTCTTCAAACCAGTTAAAAAATATGTAGGTGGCGCACTCAACAAGTAGGAGTCATACTGACATCAAAATCAAATTTCTTATGTCAAAAAACTCCCAGGTACCAATTTTCATCCATATATTGACGTTACTTCAGAAATTATTTGGAAAAATTCGAAATAAAAATGACACTTCTACACCCTGTATCTTCGAAACGCATTTTAGGACATACATTTATAAGAACTTTTTTACTTATTTTTATCTGCAGAATATGCCGCCGAAGTTTCCGGAATACAGTATGTGCAACGAACTTTTTAGTGGCCAAGAATATTATTTTGATTTTTTTATGTAACAATTACCTGAACATCCTTATCGAGTCGATCTTTAACAAAGGTAATATATGTCTGGGTCTGATCGTTAGGCAATTTTTCCAATCGAGGTTCGGCAATATGGCAGCCCATCGATCTTGACAATCTTTGCATATGGTTTGCGTACTCCCGAGCGCACTGCGTATCTTGGTGCGTATAAAATACGACCCAATTCCGTATGTCAACTGGCATAAGAACCTTAAAAATATATCTATAAATGAATAAACACGATTCAACAGAATATAAAAGCCAATTACGGGATTATTTCCAAGGTCTCTGTTCCAATCGGCACTGGGACCGGCGGACTTGGTAATTTGATTACCATAAATAATTGTCTCTGTCTCCAGCTGCCTTCCAGTTAAACCCAGGTTTTCGGCGGCTAACGATAAACCCCATTGTGACAACAGCTGAAAAGATTTAATCATATTTTTAATATACAGGGTTGTTCACCACATACGACACGGAGTATTGTAGCTAAACGATTAGATTTTTGCAAATTGTTTTGGGTTCAAGTGTTGGGTCAAAGTTTTGGGTTCGTTGAAGGACTATTAGAGCTACAATTTAAAAATATTTTCACAAGATATAGAGTGTCCCAAATAGATAAAAAATATCAAAGTTGTATTTTTTTAAATGGAACACCCTGTATATTATTACATTTTTAGTTTCTACTATTAAAATAAAGGTAAATTTGATTAAGGTTTACCACACTTAAATCTTACCGTTTTTGAAATATTTTCAATTTTGTGAAATTGCAGTAAAAATTTTAAAGCTTTATTTCTTCAAGGGTATCAAAGTTTTTACGTTTATATTAAGTTATTAAGTGTATTTATTGATCAGTTATTGTGTTGTAATAATAAAAATAATATTACCTCATACAGAGTGTCTGAAAATTTATTTTAAATAATCTCTAGCTTTAAACGGCAATAACTTGTTTAATTTAAATGGCACACCCTGTATATTTTAGGAGAATCAGATGCACAATTTAATTGTCTATCAAATTGAATTTTGCCATTTTTTACCTATCCCTTCAAGTTTTCGTAGAAAATGCATTTTATTATAATTTAGACCTACTTTATCAATATAGCCATGAAATATTGACATTTTAGATTGTTTTTAAAGCAACCAATGTATAAAAGATACAGGTGCTAAAAACGATATTACTAGCCCATTTGTATACAAAAAGATAACTATTTAAATCTTTATAAAAGAGTGTATCATTAACTTAATATACCACCATTATTTCCGCTCAAATATTAATTAATTACATACTTGTGTTAGTTAATGAATTATTCTAAATAAATGTGCGTAAAATGAACGTCTCTGTTGTTATAAATAATTATATTCGTCAGAAAATGAAATGAAATTTTTAAGATGTTGATTTTTACCACACGGTATAAAACACATACAAAATTCAGTTTTTTAGTGCTGTCAAGGTGTATTACTGGTTGCATAACTGCATACTGCTAAAAAATCGCAAAGTGCATTGAGGAACCTGGCGCATTCGCCAGAAAGTAAAGAAAATTATAGAATTCTTTAGAAAAATCTAGAAACAACCGCCAGGGGGTATATAAGGCCCGCGCTTTGACAGTTGGACAAGTTTGAAGTTTGAAGTCTAAGTCTGAAGTTTGAAAATACCGCGAAATACCATTAGAGTAATAGTAGTTGCATAAGTTGTGTTGTAAATAGTATAAGTTGTGTACAGAGTGAAACAAATAAATTCGTTAAGTATTTTATCGTGAGTTTAAATAGTGGACCCACGGAATCCGTAACAATTGGTGTCGGAAGTGCGATTCAAGAGGATTTTAAGAAGAAATTAAGTGGATTGGAAGATTTTTAGACCGGATTAGAGTATTTTTATGGTTGGTACAAGGGAGCAAGCGAAGAAAATGGAGGAAGTAAGCAAGTTATTAGAAGGTTTTATGGAGAATATGAGAAGAGAAAAAATCAGAAGAACAGGATCGCCTACTGAAAATTCTAGAAAATCAAGACAAAATTTTCGAAGATTTAAAAATTCAACGACAACAAGACAAACAAGAAGAACAGGACCGGCTTGAGAAAATTCTCGAAGATTTGAAAGCTCAACGACAGCATGATAAACAAGAAGAACAGGACCGGCTTGAGAAAATTTTCGAAGATTTTAAATTTCAACGACAGCACGACAAACAAGAAGAACAAGACCGGCTTCAGAAAATATTAGAAAATCAGGAAATTCGACTTCGGAAAAGCTTCGGGGACATGGAAAAAAAGCAACAAGCAATGTTGGAAGTACGTTGCCAGGAACAGCAGAATCACTTCCAAGAAGCCGTAGAAGATCTGGAGGAACGCCTTCAGCAGAAAATGGAAAAATTATAGATGGACCTACAGAAGACCAATGTACAAGTAAGGACACCTGGCGTTCATGGAACTGCGAACCTCAAGGCCCCGACCTACGATGGACAAACCACCTGGACGATGTACCAACGCCAGTTTGAAGCAGCGGCTGCTGCCAATGGATGGACTGACCAAGAGAAAGCAGCAGCACTTGTCATCGCGCTGCGTGGCCCTGCCCTGGAACTGTTGCAAACTATTCCTGCAGCCCAACAGCAGGAATACCAAACTTTGGTCGCTGTACTGGACAGAAGATATGGCGACCAACATCGACGTCAACTTTACCAGGCCCAGATCAAGACACGCATGCAGAGGTCCGGAGAGAGTCTGCAGGAATTTGAAGCAGACTTACGTCGGCTGGTACACCTAGCGTATCCTGAAGCACCGGAAGGATTTAGGGAGGAACTCGCTGCTCAGTGCTTTATCAGCGGACTGAGGGTCAACGAACTGCAGAGGGCGCTGCAAATATCCCGTTTTTCTACCAGCAGCGAAGCACTGGTCAGGGCGCTAGAAATTGAAGCTGCTTTTAGCGCCATCCCTAGACCGAAGATAAGATCGGTAACGGTCGAGGAACAGCCCGGAAGTTCTCACATACGTTTGGAGGAGATGTTTAGTAAACTATGTGAGTTACTAGTGAACAAGAGTAGCAACAACACCCAGACAGAGAACCATAGAAGATCCCAGGACATAAGGTGTTATAGATGTGGCAGGAGTGGCCACATCAAACGAGATTGCCGCGTTCAAATGCGATCCCGTTCACCATCCAGAGAACGTAGGCACCAGGAAAACTAAAATCAGTCAATACTAAGGGGCGAGTATTGACTGGGGAGAACAGAGCCCCCAGGATTTTTTCCATTTGAAATCTAGGAAGAACCGCTGACAGTTTGGTGATCGACGGGAAAGTCAATGGAAAGGGAATCCGAATGACAGTGGACACTGGCGCTATGGTATCGTTGGTGCGGGCTAACTCAGTGCAAGGATTGAAGCTGATGCCTCTGAGAAGAAGAGTGTGTTTACGTACAGTTACGGGGGAAATGGCCGTTGTACGGGGAGAGGCTATCGTCGAACTGAAGTTAGGAAATTTGAAGTTCCAGCATAGCGTCTTAGTGGCAGACATTGAAGATGATTTTATCATGGGTATGGATGTGATCAGTCAACATGGTTTTTCGTTTGATCACCATAGAAACATCCTGAAAATCGGAAATGAGGAATTTTCTGTATCTAAAGAGAAGAGGCCAGGAAATATGGAAGAAAGATCATCGAAAATTGTGATGATACCTGGTGATACCAAGAAAACTGTGTTCGGGAAACTGGAGAAAACCGTTGGGTGCCGTGTAGGACGGGTACAAATTATCGACAACGAACCGGATCGACGACGAGCTACCTTGGGCAAGAAAATGCAACATCGCGAAAGCACTATCAGAGTAAAGAATTTTAAACTGAGAACTGACGAACAATGGACGAAGATACAATTGAGGAAAGACCAAGTGGAAGATCCAGACATCGGAGCAATACTACAGCTCAAGGAAGGTAACGGCGAGAGACCACCGTGGCAGGATATTGCGGACAGAGGGCTCGTTTTCAAAGCTCTCTGGGCTCAGTGGAATTCACTGGATATTGAGAATGGATTGTTAAAGCGCACGTGGGAAAGTGAGGATGACAGGACAGTAACAACTCAGTTACTGGTACCAAGGAAGAAAGTTACCCAGGTATTGGAAGAAATTCATGGTGGTAAAACTGGAGCCCATCTTGGGGTAAACAAGACCTTGAGCAAGCTGAGAGATCGCTTTTACTGGGTGGATTATTGCGAAGATGTCAAGAAATGGTGTCGACAATGTAAAACTTGTGCAGCCAGCCAAGGACCAAGCACTCGCTCTAGGGGAAAAATGAAACAATATAACGTTGGACTGCCATTCGAAAGAATCGCTGTTGACATTGCAGGCCCATTCCCTGAAACGCACAAGGGCAACAAGTACGTTTTAGTAGCGATGGATTATTTCAGTAAATGGCCAGAAGTTTTTGCCATTCCAAACCAAGAAGCATCGACTGTAGCTGAAGTATTGGTCAATAATGTCTTCAGTAGATTTGGAATTCCCTTAGAGCTTCACACTGACCAAGGAAGGAACTTCGAGTCAAGACTGTTCCAGAAGATGTGTGATCTGCTTGGTATTCACAAGACTAGGACAACAGCTTTACATCCGCAGTCTGATGGGATGGTCGAAAGATTCAATAAGACCATTGAAGAACACCTCTCGAAAATGGTGGCCGAACATCAAAGAGATTGGGATCAACACATACCGCTGTTCCTAATGGCGTATAGAAGTGCAGTTCACAACACCACCGGACTTTCACCATCGAAGATTTTATTTGGTCGAGAATTACGGTTGCCTTGTGACTTGGTGTTCGGATCACCAGACGACGGCACCACAAATGTAGAGGACTACGCGGATGAACTGAAGGAAAGGTTAATGGAAATTCATAAGGCCGTAAGAAGTAAGATTACGCTAGCCAGTGACCGGATGAAAGCTCGTTACGACCTCAGAGCTAATTCTACGGGATTTCAACAGGACGATATGGTATGGTTATATAACCCACAGCGCAAGAAAGGGAGGTCCCCAAAGTTAACTCCAGCATGGGAAGGTCCTTATACAGTCATCAAGAGGATAAATGATGTTGTGTACCGGATTCAACGCAGCCCTAGAAGTAAGATGAAAGTAGTTCATCTGGATCGATTGAAGAGATACCAGACAGGAAACCTTGATCGGGAAGATCAAATTTGAGAAGGGGGCAATGTCAAGGTGTATTACTGGTTGCATAACTGCATACTGCTAAAAAATTTGGAATTGAGGAACCTGGCGCATTCGCCAGAAAGTAAAGAAAATTATAGAATTCTTTAGAAAAATCTAGAAACAACCGCCAGGGGGTATATAAGGCCCGCGCTTTGACAGTTGGACAAGTTTGAAGTTTGAAGTCTAAGTCTGAAGTTTGAAAATACCGCGAAATACCGTTAGAGTAATAGTAGTTGCATATTTTGTGTTGTAAATAGTATAAGTTGTGTACAGAGTGAAACAAATAAATTCGTTAAGTATTTTATCGTGAGTTTAAATAGTGGACCCACGGAATCCGTAACAGTACTTTGAACAATTTATTATTATTAATCAACGCAAACAGCCAATTAATGTACTTTGAATACTGGAATCATATTAAATGGTCCTCTTTAACAAATATTTAAAAAGTTTATTTTTTAATGAAATAAACGAACTATATCGACGATATTGGTATTTGTACTCTTTAAAAATTTGTTACATCTTTAAAAATAATCTAAAATGTCAATATTCCATGGGTATGTTGATAAATGAGGTCTAAATTATGAGAAAATGCATTTTCTACGAAAACTTAGATAGGTAAAAATAGTATAATATAATTTGATAGACAATTAAATTGCGCATTTGATTCTCATAAAATATACAGGGTGTTCCATTTAAATTTAACAAGTTATTGCCGTTTAAAGCTAGTAATTATTTAAAATAACTTTTTAGATACTCTGTATAAGGTAGTATAATTTTTATTATTGCAACACAAAATTTAGTAAATTGAAATACTTTAGTACAATATTTAGTTTTAAAAACTTAAATACGCCTAGAGAAATGAAGCATTAAAATTATTACTGTTTTTTTACAAAAACCTAAATATTTCAAAAACGGTAAGATTAAAATGCGGTAAACCTTAATCAAATTTACCTTTATTTTAATCGTGGAAACAAAAAATGTAATAATATACAGGGAACCAGGTTCCATTTAAAAAAATACAACTTTGACATTTTTTATTTGTTTTGGGACACTCTGTATCTTGTAAAAATAATTTTAAATTGTTGCTCTAATAGTACTTCAACGAACCCCAAACTTACAATTTGCAAAAATCTAATCGTTTAGCTACAATACTCCGTGTCGTATGTGGTGAACCACCCTGTATAGTGCCGCCAAAGAATTTTTGACTTATTTATAGGCTTGGTGCATTTCAGCTGATTTCAACAAATTCCGACCACAGCGCTTCAACGACAGAAATCATAAAATATCAGTACGTATTTCACGCCGCCGTCATGTTGATCGCATTAAAATAATATTGAAATCGTGGTTTTGTCATAATATGTGTGAAAAAGAATTCGAACTAGGCGTGGTGTTGTGTTGTGACAATTTCAAATGTTAATAAAATTGCCGAAAAAATATTAACGTGTAAAGGAAAGCACAATTAGGGGGTTGTTAGGTGCAATAACATTCAATAACTCAACTTTCACGGATATTCAAGTCTCCCGAAACAACATTTTATAGCTTCATTGTTTCTCACATAGATTTGATCAAAAGCAAAAATGGATTCAAGCAGTTTCAGGAAACAAGTGAGTAAACAAAGTGCTCGTTACATAATCAAAAAATTAAATAGACATATAATATACTATAAGAGGATAAAATATAATTTGAAATATTAATGGTATATGTTTTTAATCAACTAGTGATTAAATGTTTTATGAACATCTTCTAAAATTGTAATTACGTACCTTTAAAAAATTTCGTTATATCCGAAATAGCCCCAATTATGCCCCACTAGCAAAACCGGTGATTAAAACTATGCTCGCTACTGTAGTTGAATACATCTAAACAGTTTTTTTAACTGGAATAATAAATTATAATATAAGTTAGACCTTCTGAAGATCTCAAAATATTTACTTTTTTATTTTTATTTTTAGAATTTTCACAAATTATACTTCCTAACACTTTTAGAATAATTAAATAATACATTTTTCGTATACTCGCTATTTAAACCCGTGTATTTGTATATACTAGTTGTTTACGATATTCTCCGATGGTGGCAGCACCGGCGGAAAATGCACCAAGCGTATAGGGTGTGCCAAAAAGTCCCCAACAGATAGAATTTTTTATTTTCTTCAGCATCATTAAACCAATATATACTACTACTACTACTACTATATAGCCAATAAACTACCTTTTGTTAAGGTGCGTTCACTGCAACTGCTCCGCTCCGCGCAAATCATTTCTTTAACATATACTTTTGTGCGTGCTAAAAAAATACACTTCAAAAGTACATGTTAAAAAAATGTTTTGCGCGGAGCGGCGCAGTCGGTCAGAACGCACCTTTATATTTTGAAGTATGTCGCGCAACAAGTACCAATGTCGGTGGATCACAATAATCCTCTTTGCATAAGCAAGTGGGGATGAGATGATAGAATATTGAAAAAAATCGGCAAGAAAATCCTATTTGTAGCAAATTTTTTTGGTAAATCCTGTATAAGTGTGATTTTTTTATTAAAATATTTTTCTTACCTCCTGAGCTCTTTCACTATTCCGAACGTTATCGATATACGTTCTTAAGGCTAGTCTTCGCTGCTGAGGAGTAATTCTTGTAAAAAATGCCACATCCTTCATTAACTATATAAAATATTAAAATTTATTTATTATCCATCGTTAAAATTGAGGGTTGGTAATACTAGATACTAACCTTAAAATCATTTCGCATGGCATCTGTTAGATTTGTTAAATAACAAAGTTCCGGTACTAGACAAATCATCCTATCTTCTTTTTCTAATGAACCTGCTACAGTTACACTTTTTCTATGCAAAAGTAATGGCTGATGATGATCTAGAATGTCTAATTTGTATTGATTCTTGTAATACTCAACGTAAGAAATAGCCCTGAAAAAATTATTTTTATAACAGTAAACATAAAATAATTTCAAATATATGAGGATATAGTCTTTTTCAAACTTCCAAAACTACTTACCGTCCATCGTGAGTTGGAAAAGTACTCTTTGGAGTCACGTCCCATAAAATATCATGAATAATATAGGTTTTGTGATTATATCGCGTAATAACACACATGCCCAGGAATGATTTATATGCGTTTTCTTTGAAATTTCGAGCGTCTGAAGAGCACTTGAGTTCAGCCAGTAATTGATATGCCGTCTGGTTATGTATTATTTTGTGCTGAGTATCTAAACATAACAACAGATCAGACTCACGGTCAACAACGGTCACTACAAAACCCGGATACACCTGAAAAAAGTTATTAAATTTATATATTTATCAATAAATTATAATATTTTGCACTTATTTAAGAAACGCCCTGGGATCCGTTCGACTTTACGGACACTAGAATTTTAAAAAAACAAAAATTGTCCTGTAAAAGTATGTGTTTTAGTAGGTAATTTAAGCCAAAAAAATTTGCGGATTATCCAGTAAATTTTAAAATATTGAAATAAAATGATGGTACTATTTGATGGCTGCGGAGGAATTTTGACAGATGGTACAAACATATGATGACATTAACATGTGCGACGTTGCCGCTATTTTACGCCAATTTTTCACGTGCCGGTCGCTGGAGGAACGGCTCCTAGAACGGCTCCTCCCTTTCCATCACGGTGAAAACAAATGAATTATTATAAAATCTGTGTTTAAAATCAAATCATTGAAAGCACTCAGATTCGTATTAAAATATAAAAAACACAGCTTAACCCCCTCACCATAGAAAACCTAACCAAAGCAACCCAAATCCTAACCAATCTAATAATATTTTTGCAAAATCACAGTTAATTATTAAAATATAAAAACCACAGCTTAACACCCTTCACAAAGAAAAGCTAACCAAAAATTCAAAACCACAAAACCTCTAAAAGAATATCTAACATAACCTCACTTCAGTAGAAAATTATATAAAATAATTATATTGACAACGTCGCAAATAGCGTGTAAAGGCCGTCGATCAACTGTCAATCAAAAAGTCAATGCTTGCTAGTTCGGGATATTGTAAATACATGCATTTTCTTAATTTTTACGCTTACAAATTTCTTGAATTTTTGTGCTTAAACTAGGTCAATCCACATCCTATATAATGTAGTAAAGTGCTAATATTCAATGTTTCTACCATCTGTATGGAAAATTTAACGTTTTTAGTGTCCATAATATCGACTGGAACCACGCCCGGTATATAAAATTAAAACATACCTCAAGCTTGTGTTGCGGAATTATATGTTTATGTTCTGTATTGTAATAATTTGTTCCAATGCGTGTGTATAAAAGGACAAACATGATCCTTTTAAATAAAACATTATACAAATGCAAACAGTCCTTGTCACCCAATCGCTTCTGTTTCTTAAATATAATAGTTACTGTAACTGCTTGATCACCATTTGTGAGATTCATGTCGTAAGATTTTTGGGTGTCAATGAATTTCTGAGGAAGATACAAACAGCTACCTGTAAGATGTTAGATAGAAAAGTATATTAAACAATAAATATATTTTTCAAATGTATTACCTCCATCAAATACTTTTACAGTTTTAAGATCTCCCATTATCTTATTAACTAACTCATATCTTTGACTTTTTGCATCTAGTTCAGGGCTAAATACAACTTCATACTGAAAAACTCCTCCACCTTTTTGTATATTCAGTTGAATATAATTTACAGATAGCTGTAATTCTTTTCCAGTAGTACCTAAATATTATAAAATATCAAATTAGTAGAGATATATCTATAGTAATTTAATTTCTTAGCATATACAGGGTGCTACAAATTCGAGGTACGAGCATTAGCTTAGACAAGGAAAGAGAGGGGACAGGTAACACGGCAGCTGAAAGTGAGGCAAATTGTCACCAGGCGAAATTCTCCAATGGCGTAGCATCAGAAATTAGCTTGTACCTAGACGGTACAAAATATTTATTAAAACGTAAACTAATATATCGTTCATTTTTGAGTAATGCATATACAATTTTGTATTTTATAGTCTCACCTTTATAATATTAGAATATCTAAGTCGATAATGCAAAATTTATTAACAGTCGCAGTGGACTGATTATCAAGACAATTATTTATTTATTAACGTGTGTATAATGTATAATTAAATAAAAAATAATGTAATAACATATATTTTAAACGTGTATATACATATATACTGTATGATCGAAAAAAACGGCGCCTTGTTTGGAAATGACAATTTCACAAATGAATATTAAAAATTACATTATTCATTGAATCCGTAAGCAAGTGTGAAGGGAATTGGCTAGATTCATTATTATACCGTATAATCGAAAAAAAACGACGTCCAGTTGGCTTGTAAATTATGATTGAAATGAAAAATGATGATTAAAAAAAATAGAGTCGGACTTGAAATTAGTTTAAATAAATTGTGTTCAAATTTCCAAAACAAAAAAAAAGTTAAGTGTGACATATCATTGAGTTCTTTCATAACTTGAAATAAAAAATGCAGGTCCGTATTTAAAAAAATTAAGTTGGCCTCTGTATCTCACAAATTATCAGCTAATTTGAAAATCTAAAAATACTATCAGATAGCCCTAATAAAGTTGCTATGAGGATGTGCAATTAGTTTTTTGATTTTATAAAAAGCAACGACAGGAAAAAATAAAATTCATTTTCAAAAAAATCGTTTTTTTCCGAAAAAATCAACAATCCTTGAAATTTTTAAAACTTTTTTGATGGTATCTAGGTGAGCATCCCAAGGCGCAACTTTGCCCCAATTTAACCATCTTCATATCTATTACGGTTTCCGAGATACCAATACTCGTATCTCAAATTTGTAGCACCCTGTATAAAAAAAATGGGCGCCGGGAGGCACATATAACCGCCCATACTAAAATATGTTGTTAAAAAGTTGGTAGGCAGTTCTTTTAGTTTCAAAGTAAAGGAATTTTTCCAATCTTGGTCCACGGTTATTTCCCCTATCCGCCACCTGGGGTCGCGTCCGATGGGAGTTTGGAGTTCTCTACACGGATTTTCTCTAAAACGGACTACGGAAACACGGAATATCTCAAAAACTGCGACTTTGACTGACTTTGATGTTATTACAAATTTTGTTGCAAATAATATTCCTAATCTTAAATTGAAAACCGCGTTTCGCTAGCTACTGTAATTCTGGAGTTACGATTTTTTTAAATTTTAACCCCCTCCCATACCCCCTTACCAACCCCCCACCCCCACCAAAAACTAATGGCCAGATTCTCGGGTGCCACAGTATTTTTGTGCCAAATTTGGTTAAAATCGGTTTAGCGGTTTTTGAGTTATCGTGTTACAGATGGACCGACACCATGAAAATATTTTGTGTTCAGGTTATTTATGACCCAAATAACTCATTTTGAATGAAATTAAAAAAACTTTTTTTTTGCCGATCTTAATAGCCTACCATACCTGTTGGTATGGTTGGCTAAAAATACAGTCGGCAACGCCTAGTTTTGGATGCCGATTTTAAGAGTACAGTCAATGTATTCAGTACAATAAGATGTACTGTAAGAGCAAGTATTTTCCGAAGTGCATTAAATAAGACTAAGATTAAGTGGTTATGTAATAAACATAAAATTATAGTATTCTATTCTAGTATCATGAAAGAAAGTATTTTTATCCTATATTATCTCTATATTTGGTGATAAGTAATAAAATTAAATTGTAATAGACATAAATTATCAGTAAAAAATTATATCTATGAGTAATAAAAATTAGATTTGTAATTATATAGTACAAAAAGGAGATATATAAAAGAAAGCTTGTAGCTTTTCTTGACATGACATACATATAAGTAAATATAGTTATTTAATAAAATATTCTGTAGAACATATACAAAATATTTGAAAAAGATAAAGTAAATTACCTCTGTAATACATTGTCTCTAAAGCTTCATCTTCAGTTGTAATCTCTCCAATTTTTTTGGTTATTTCTTCAATTTTTGATTTGGGACTACTTGTACTTTCAGGTGCCGATCCTACCAGTTTAGTTTGATAGTACTTCTCTAACATTGCTGCCCGACCCTTAAATTTTAATAAATCACACAATTACATTGAGATATGTGCTTTCAAATTCATAATAAAAAATAATATATAATAAAAATAATTAATACCTTCGGTTTTGGGGCCTCTCCTTGAGACGTTACAGGTTGGACACCAACATGTTGTTGCATTTCCTCTTTTTTCTTCTGGTAACTAGCCAATAAAGAAGCACCTCGCCCTCGTGGTGCTGGTGCAACAGGTTCTGGTACCCCATGTTCCTCCGTCTTGTTACAAAGAAAAGAACAATACAAATTTACTTTTTAAAGCTCTATATACTTGAAAAAATATTAATAAAAAAGGGCATAAGGTTACATAGTATTCTTACCGAAATACTCGATGTTTGCGGAGGTACTTGGGATTGGATACCGACTTGCTGTTCCTTTTTCTGCTTTAGTAGAGCCGCTAGAGCTGCAGCTCCGCGACCTCGTGGGGCTACGCGACCTTCTTCCATGTTAGGATCAACAATGTAAAATTTACTTAAACCTCCAGTATTAAGTAAATCCTAATGTTCTTCCATCAATAACGAACAGTAATCTTGGAATTACAAAACCAGAACTGTTTGTTAGATAATTATTTTTCTAAAAGGTACTCCATTCCAAACCAAAACAAAAATTTACAAAATGACGCTCTGTTAATTGTCAAAAATGTCAAATGTGGCACAGACAAAGAATATATATCACAGATGAATTCAGTTACATATTTTTATTTATATATGAAAGGGTAACAGTCTGTATAATATATATGATAATATATTTTATATTAGTATTTATATATGATAAGTATTCTTCTCTTCGGTTTAATGGCTTTAAGCTACTAGGACGATATGGCCCAAATTATGAATTTTGGATGCTGTGGTCAACAAATTAAATGAGAAGAAAAGTAGAATGTGATTTTCTGGCGGGGATTTTAAACTATTTAAAATGAAATATATTATTTTTCTAATTATTATCATTTTTTAAAGTATAACATGTCTATATAAGTATTAAGTATTTTATTCTTATTCATTTATTGCATAATGTAAATTAAGTAAATTGTAATAATTCCTTTTTATTTATAACTAATAACTTATGATTAATATTTTTATCAAACAATTTACAGATGCCGACCCACAAATTTACCTCTATAGTTAAAAATGTCTTCAATCGGTTGTATGTATACTCATCTTAGAAGTACATAAATTGTTGAAGATAAGCTATTTTATTCAACACAATCTAAGCTTGATTAGCAACTGTACTTTTTGTTTTATATGTCACTTTCCTTGAATTTGATTGGAACTATAATCATAAAAGATCTTTTAAAATAATTTGTTTTTTATAATTTGATACTAATAATATATACAGATTTTTATTAAATTTTTAGAGGCAATATTTCTCGAGTTAAATACGCGCCATATTTTTAAAAATGGCTTAAACAGGAATTTAATCGAAGTGTATTTTTATTTACAAACTGAACAAACCTAAAATTAAACTGCCACATCGATTACATTTTTATATTAGAATTAATAATATTTCAGTAATTAAATAATAATTTCAGTGTCTCCTAATTCTTCATCAGTGGGTAGAGTAATCTTTTCAGGTGGAATAAGGTTTGGATCCACCAAAGGCAAACCAGCAGCCTCCCTTCTTTTTAGTTCCAAAAATGCTTCTCTAATGGCCCAATCTCTCAAATTTAAATCAGGAGCATAGGTATAAAAGAATCCTGCAAAATTGAAACTGTTCGTAAAGGACCTACATTAATGAGAAACCTCTTCTGCATAATTTAAATACTCTATTTACTCAAAAGCAAAAAAAAAAATATTCAAATTACAAAACCGAGCAGTGGTCAACATTAATAAAAATAAATGTCACATACCTCCAACTACAAAACACAAAGTAACTGTTACAAAGAAATGGGAGTGTAACATATTCCTATCCTCCGATTTGTTATAATAATCGAATCCATAAGATACCCAATTTTTGGTTTCAGATTCAGCTTTGGTGGTAGTACTATTAGCTACTTCAGCTACCACTGTATCATTTTTTTTCGACGTAGATACTAATCTTCTTTGTAACTGAAGCCTTAATTTTGATATAAATAATCGACGGGCGTTTACCAAACCAGCCATTTCTTAATAATTCTTTTTTATTTATAAGTTAAAATACCAATCTAAAATATATTAAAGTAAGGTTAGAGGACTGTTATGTCACTTTTCTAAAACAAAAATTCGCTATTTTAGTGAGTTATTATAGTAGTTATAGATATTAATAATATATCTTCAAAATCACTCCAAATACCTTCAGGACAGGAGGAAGTGGCACTTTGGTAAAATATGTTGACCTATGTTGTTAACTGGTTGTAAAAAGCATACTTAACGTAACAACTATGCTTAATGCTTCATATTCCCATTGCATATTCCAGATTCCAGCCCTAGATCATATATCATAAATATCCTGTCATCATCATATCATCATCATTAAATTACAAAAGTATATGATTTATATACATATATAAAAGTATATAATTTATTTACATATATAAAATAATATATGATTTATGCTTTATTATAAAATTTTACAACTTTTCTTGTTCTGCGGGTTTAAACTTTTTAGAGGTAAAAAAAAAGTTAGGGAGGGTATACTTTAGGGAGATACAGTTTTAATACAGAAAGATTAGATAATCCCACGAAAATCCAACGGAATCATTTCCCTTAATGTTTTTATCTATGGGACATTAACAACTGACAGGTTGACACTGACACGTGACTGACAGTCTGACACTACTGACAGGAAACTGCAGGGAACAACATTGAAAACACTTGGAAGATCGAAAAACGTTTGTTTTAACTGATTTTCACTTATTTAAGCTAGAATAGTTCCAGATAGTTCAGGGATAGTTGGTTATATTGAAGTATCTCTTTATTGTAGACTTTAAAACATTTGAAGATGGCTTTGGTTATGCAAAGAAAAGCAAATGTAAGTTTTTAGATTTAACGATATTTCCAACTTCATAATTGTTTGTTGTAGGTCCGTTTGCCACCAGAAATAAACAGAATTTTATATATTCGAAATTTGCCTTATAAAATAACTGGCGAAGAAATGTACGATATTTTTGGAAAATATGGAGCTATTCGACAGATAAGACTAGGGAATACTCCGGAAACAAGAGGCACAGCTTTTGTTGTTTACGAGGATATTTTTGACGCAAAGAATGCCTGCGATCATCTATCAGGATTTAATGTATGTAACAGATATTTGGTGGTATTGTATTATCAAGCCAATAAAGCATTTAAAAAGACAGATATTGACAAGAAACAAGAGGAAATTGATAAAATGAAATCTAAATATGGAATTAATACATAAAATTCTGAATAATTTTTAAGAAGTATATTTATATATAAGGCCATAAGATATTTGATAAATAAACAAAAAGCTGTATTAATGGTAGTTATTCACTGTATCTCATATTTCCCATTCTGTTTAGAACACTGGTGTTTACAATGTGGAATGATCCAGCTCCTGTTATGACTGGTTCTAAGTTCTAATTATACTTTTGTCAGAGATATGGAAGTGGTTTGGGTTGTTTTGGTTTTGTCAAAAACTGTTTCTGGTTTTGTCATCAGATTTTGATGACAATGTTAAATAAATAAAATAAAATAATATATTTAATTAATGTTTGGGATAAAGAAGGTTTAACATGTTTTTGTGTTATAAACTGTTCTGTGTTATGTTATGATTGCAACCCATCTAAACATTAATGCTACCTATTAAACTATTCCATAACTTTGAATCGGCCCAAGGGCCAACCTTTCTCAGTTCACATTTCCTTTCAAGCTCATATTCAATTTTTGTTGATTTCATAAAAAAGTGCATTTTTTGTATACAATACCCGTAATTTAAGGAACAAAAATATAAAAAAAAACTATCAACCTCTGCACAAAAACTAGAAATATGTGCACTAGTAACCGCAAAATTATATTTTCGTTAAAAATAGGGCTCCTTTATACAATGGTATATTCTGTGCTTCTATTTTAATTGTGAACATAGGGCTTATAGCAGAGTACGTAGCTTATAGCTCCATGCTATTCTATGTTCATTTTACAATGTTTTTTGAATCTAAGGTTCTTGACCCTATAATATAAAAAATTATGACCTATCATACATATTTATAGTCTGTCCAATGGCTCAAGGAAGATTTAGACAGACATCATAAAAAAAAGATATATAAAATACAATTTCCTTGTTAATTATGACAAACACAACTGTCACTATCAAGGATCCTCCCATTGGACAGACTATATATGCTAGCATTTAAGGTTTAAATAAAACATCTATAGGTATTTAGTTTGTCACATTTAATAATGGGTATCAGAAACGTAAGTATCCTGAATATGCATTCCAGATCTATTACTAAAAACCACATTCAAACCAGGAAACACACTGTCAATACACAATAACTGACAAAATTATTTACAAGTTTTTTACACTAATTTGGCAAAGTATTAATAAAAATAATATACATTAAGATCTATCATAGAGAAAAAAAAAACTAAAACTGGTACAGTTCAGTATGTATGCATTCCTTACAGTAAAGAATATAGAATATAAAGAATATTTACAGTTATATTATGTACAAGAAACAATATAAAGCTGTTTTAACTGCGAAAATTTTAATATTTGTTTTTTAGCAAATCCGTCAAAATAAATACTAATTATAATTTTCACAGCATCCAAAAAATTAAATTTTAAACAGAAGATACCTTTACAATTGTTATGTAATAGCCCCGTTAAAATGAGCCATACTAATTAAAAATACATTTTGTCCAACAAGAGAAAATATGACAATGACAGTTGACACAATGCCGTCTGTTGAAAATGCCTTCTCTCGCTGGACAGACTTTACAAATAACCTCAAAACAAAAAGGTCTAAATTTAACTCAATTTTAAAAATAAATTAATGTTTTTTAAACCTCGTAAGTACCACCTTTCTCAATCTATTGAATTTAAATCTTCCAGATTTTTAGAACAAAAAAATTAAAGCATGCATGTAAGACATTTCTTTTCATATACGTTTTCTTAAATTAAATTTCAACATTTTTTCCCATATACATTTACAAGTTAACTGCTATACATGTAAAAATAAAACTAATGAAAGACTTCTAAGGTGAATAAGTATCTCTACAATGGAGAATTACAATCAACATTAAAATACTATTTAAACAAAAATTTCACGCGAAACTGATGCATTCCTGAAAATTTAAGTCAGTATGTCTCTTCTTTGCTGCTGTTTCTTCTTTCTACAATCGGGGCAGAACCACTGTCCTTTAGGTGGTACCATAATTCCAACACATTCAAAATGGAACCATTCTATTTCACAATCATTTGAATCGCATCTGTAACAATTTAACATACATTAGTAGGTTTGCAATAAGCAGTTAAATAAAAAGTATAAACAATATATAAAATACTAATAATTAATGCGTGTACCCGCGACTTCGTTCACGTCAAATTAATCATTTGTAATGGTGATGATAAAGCAAAACAAGAATTTCCATTAACATATACAAACTGGATAAAAAAATTTCACATTTATGTCAGCATGAGAAAAAATAATATGGCGATATTATTATATAACTTGGTAATATTTGAGGGGCAGTTTCATCTCGTTGAAATTTGACTTTCGAAAAATCCGTTTGCCAAAAATAAGCTTTTTACGTCAAGCAGTTAAAGCAGAATCGTGGTTAATTAATTACCCAACTTTTTGGAACAACCTGTATGATTTTTTAAAAAATTTCAAAATATGTAAAAAAACAAAATAAATTATGCGTGTCCAAGCGTTTACCCGAAAGACTAACCGTTTTTTAAATAACAAATATTGTAATATTTGAGGGGCCGGGCGTTTTCACCCTCTTGGAATTTGAGATTCGAGAAACCCCTCCTTATCGAACCCCTACACCCCACAGTCAATCCGTTTACCAAAAATCAGCTTTAAACGTCAAGCAGTTTAAGCAGAATCGTGATTACTCAATGGTCATATTTTGTGAAACACCCTGTATAAATTTTTAAAAAATCTTAAGATATGTAAAACAACAAAATAAAATATACGTGTTTAAGAGTTTTTCCGAAAAACTCACCGGTTTTCAAATAAAAAATATTCTAATATTTGAGGGGTGGTTTCAACCCTTTAGAATTCGAGTTTCGAAAAATCCCTTCTTATCGACCTTCTACACCCAAAAGTCAATCTGTTTTCCAAAAAGCAGCTTTTTACGTCAAGCGCTTTAAGCAGGATCGTGATTAATCAATGGCCACATTTTTCGAAACACCCTGTATACCTTTTTAAAAAATCCTAAAATATGTAATCTTAATGAAACTATAAGCATAATGAAACTTGACCGTTTTTTAAATAAAAAATATTGTAATATTTGAGGGGTGGTTTCACCCCCTTGGAACTGGACTTTCGAAAAATCCCTTCTTATCGAACCTCTACACCCTAGAATCAACCTGTATGCCAAAATTGAGCTTCTTACGTTGAGTGGTTTGAGCAGGATAGTGATTAATCAGTGAGTCACTTAACGATTTTATACACTGCTGGCAAAGGAATATTAGCAATAGGAGGTTTTCAATGCGATAAAAAAAGATGGTAAGGCTGCAAAATACACTGCAGTGCAACAGAGACGGATAAAGTGTCTTTTCCCTACCATCGTATAGGGGAAGTGATCATAGAAGTGATACGACGAGAGAGCCCCTGCGAGAGGGGGCCGGGCGGGTCTTTAAGACGCTTGTGTGGGGGCTACCGCCTACTAATAGAACAGAATCGAAAAAATAGAAACAGGACGGACAGTGTTGCCATTCAATTAAATCGAAATTATGTTGGCTTGTCAAAATCCTAAATCTTCTAATCCCATTATCTTGCCTACTTAATGAAATATTAAATAAAGTACGAAACAATTTTAAGAATGTTTTCTCTAGGCACATAACTTCTTTCTAAAACGAAAAGTAACATGCAAAACTTTGAAATCATTTCTAAAATAGCAAGTGCAATTCTATGAAATGGCAATACTGTACGATCTTCCTAGCAGTCGCCCCGACACAGTCGGTCGGCGGCGGCGCTTGACAAAGCCGCGGCTGTGACAAAGGAATTAGGCCGAAAAAAACTTTATAAGGAGTAGCCGAACAGGGTTGCCGGGTTGGTTAGATTATAATTCCATACGAGAACAAAATTCTCGGTAGATCTTCAACAAAAATTAAAAGTACAGAAACGAAATAAAATATAATATTTAAGTCCAAAATTAGCATTCCTATGTGTCGTAATAATAGATCACTCAAATAAAATACAAATATAATAAATATAACAAGAATTAGAAATAGCTAGGTATATTATTTGATATTAAAAAAAATATTGAATTAAATAATATTAATATATTAATAAAAACATATAAAACTATAACAAGTAGGGATAGCAGTCACAAATTAGTGTAGCAGTCACTTTTTACCTTTGTACAAATTTTGATCAGTGATATCTAAAATTAATTTCATTTCAATGGGAAAGCTGTAGCAACTCTCAACTCTTTTTTCATATTAATATATTTTTTTGACGGGAAAATCACTAAAATATTTGTCCGAATTTAGGTTGTTTCTTAACTTAAATTTTGTTTTTTGTTTACATTTTTTGGGGGAAAATATGGGTTCAACTTTAGAAGATGAATGAAAATCTTTTCAAAAGATATCAACTTCTTCGGGCATGTCGCCAATACCGCGCCTAATAAGAAGGATATTTAGGAATATCTCTATAACTCTGCAACTAGACAGAACGATGACCTGTATGTGTGTTATTACTAAATAAAATTTAATGAATCAATAATAAAGTCAGATTATACAGATTCCAACGCGGCAGTCGCTTAATTTTTAGTCAAATAAGTCAGCTTTTTAAAAGTGCTTCTATTGTAAAAACTAAAGACGCAGTTGAATATATCGTTAGATTTTTCTTTAAATCGGTAGATCGGTAGCTTACAGACGAAACCGGTAGACCTGGCAACTCTGTGATGAACTGACGGTAGTCGGAATAGCGAGGTGCGGAGGCGCGGGAAGGGAAATAAAATAATGGCGATAAATAAAGGGCAGGGAGATGGGTATCATGAGTGGATGGGAGGTGGTGGAATTTCCAAAATTTGTTATCTTATTGGAGTTTGTCTAAGTAGACAGTCGTAGTGGAAGTGGAAACGGGGAAGTTGTTGTCCATCTCTGTTTAAGCATAGACTTTTTATAGGCGTTTCATTCCAATGCATGTAATTCCTATGCCTAGAGATCCATTGCCGGGCCTGTATATTAGTATAGATAGTTACCCAATCATTTCTGAGACTTCGTCATAAGGACATCTACAATAACAATACAGCTGTGGCTGCTGTGGCTTGGGAGGTCCATTGGCTGCTTCAGCTGGCTCATCCATATCGGAATCATTAGAATCCGTAGCGCTTTCATCTCTTGAAGCTATGGGTATCTTTGGCTTAAACAAGCGAATTGGTGGAATTGATGGCTGAAAAAACAATAAGAAAGCATATATTATATAAATACTTCAAAAATAAATCAATATTCATACAGGTGCTATACAGGGTGTCCCAGGCTGAGCGTGCATTAGAAAATTGTAGAGAACTACAATATCCAGATCGGAAATTTTTTGCACATCATTATTTCACGAGATATATCGATTAAAAATATTTTCTCTATGGCGGCACTTCATCTCGTATATACATACTTTCATATTTTAAATGCTTTTTATTACATACTTAAATTCTCTGTAAAATTTTATGAATTTTGATATTAAATACTCTGTATCTAACATAAACCGTTTTTAGAAAAAAATATTTAAAATTTTTGACCGAAAAAAACTGCCTGTCATAAATATGTGTATAGCCTAAACGTCATATTTAGTGGTTTCCACCATATACGTATTACTTTTTACAAATATACTCAGCCTAATCTCCAAAAAGTGAAGCCCAAACAGTGAGAGAACAATATGGAATTCTGCATAAGTCTATTTCACCCGGATATTCATTTAACTGAGCATGCCTCACCTGAAGAAGTTTTCATTGGTCGATGTTTTTAAAGGGAAGTGGTTGACTGACATTTCCCTAACCTTCAATTTTATTTATATTTTTATTATTTATAACACATTATCATGGAGTTGGAAAAATATCAAAAAATAGTTGGAAACAATAAACTAAACAAAATCACTCTTTTACGCGCACAAATAAAAAGTAATCCAAACAGAACTAAAACAACAATCAATCGGAGTTTGGCGCAATCGCAGTTCAATCCATATGCGGGTGAAATAGACATGCAGTTTTAATATGGAGCTGGGTTATGTTGTCTTTTTCTTACGGCACAGAAATTGCACACGGAGTTAAATAGGGAACCCTGAGTATATTTGTAAAAAGTAATACGTATATGGTTTCCACAGCCACTGTGCCATAAAGAGGTGATTTTTTTTCGGCTATCTATGTCAAAAATTAAATTGTTCCAACGTCATATAATAATGGCCGTAGCTGTCATGGAATTGAGCGATTAAAAAATTATCATAAATATTTTTTTTCAAATGAAAATCCACTTTTTTATTTCACTAGTGAAATAGCCGTTCAATTCGTTCCTTTTTGACTATACATGTTCCTATGCCTAAAATAAATCGTTTTTAAGTTATTTAAGATTTTTTTTTGTTTCAAAGCGTATATTTTTCTTGATTTTAACAAGTCGCCTTTAGACATCAAGTGATGTAAAACAATAGATCTGGCCATGTCATATTGTGACACTTTGTTCAAAAAGCAGTATGTCATCGATCATAATTTCCAAGCCAACTTTGCGCTGTTTTTTTTTCGATCATACGGTATATCTATTATTATAATAATATCAACATCAACTATTAGATATCACTAAGGAGCGAAAATAGGACATATATTTTTATAAATACACTTCTTAAACTCTTAAGGCAGGCAGTATTAGGCAATATAGGAAATTCAAATATTTCGTTTTCTAACAGATGCAAATAAATTATCTGATTCTTTTTATGTCCCAGTGGCTGTAGTAATAATTAAATTTGATGTTTAGGCTATACAAATTTTTTTGACAGGCAATTTTTTTCCTCCAAAAATTTTAAATATTTTTTTTTCTCAAAAACGGTTAATGTTAGGTATAGAGTGTTTGGTCTGGTTAGGTTTTTTACAGAGAATCAGCTAGAATAAAAAGCAGAATCAGCTAATATAAAAAATGGAGGCACCCATTTAAAATAAGAAAGTTGTTGCCAACTTCCGGTATTTCCAGAAGTGCCGCCATATTCAAAATATTTTTGATTGTTAGATACCGTTGTAAAACATCCAAATGGGTCCAAAAAAATTTCGGTCTAAATAGTGTAGATCTCCAGAATCTTCTAAGGCACGCTTAGCTTGGGACACCCTGTATATGGTATTATAAAAAGATAGTGCAGTCTATACCAGAGTAAGTAAACCGACGAGTAGCGACAGTCCCGTTTTCAATTTTCTTTGCGGCTGCGCGAAATAAGTAGGTTATCTGTCATATGAAGAAGCGAAGTTGCCACTGTTGCCATTTATCAAATATGTCTATGTACTTTATTTCAAGTATACCTCAGGCAACGAATAGTTTTTTTAATTATTTATTAGCTGTAAGATATTTTATACATTCAAATTTAGAAATAAGGATAAAACAAAACAGAAAAAATATGTATAAAACTTTATAATTAATTCCACTTCAAATTATGAGCAGTGTATACCATGTTTATAGGATCACTTCATAAGTTGAGCAGTTAAATACGTAGTCTATCTGTCAAACACGTCAAAAGAGAGAGAAAGAAAATTTGGTTCCACCACATCAAAAGAGCCGACGGTTTCTGTAGCTACTCGGCAATCTACTTACTCTGTCTATACGACGATCGATCAACGTTAGGTCATCATTATTTATCTAATATCCGCATTTTATGGCGTGTACTCAGATCGGTCCATATTGTTTAAAACATGTTCCGAAATTCATAACCGAGCGCGTACCGATTATAATATTTTTAAAGGTGCGTTCACACCGGCTGCGCCGCGCCGCGCAAAAAAATTATTTTCGCAGAGCGGCGCAGCTGGTGTGAACGCACCTTATGCCCACTTGCACCGTTTGTATAAACTTTGTTTAAAGGCTAAACAGTGATTAACTATACATATTTTACGAGGCATGTTTTTTAAGTAAGTACCGTTTTGCGATTCCGCCGCCGCAGCGCTACGGTCGGCGTTCCGCGCATGCGCGCTGGTTACCTACATCTCTTGTCTATGCACAGACGCCAGTATAGTCTGATTCTTCATTGTATACGTTGTTTATTGAGTGTTTAAGATGCCTCCGACAATCGTGAGCCCCGCCGATTGTGAAGTACGGGCTGTGATACGATTTCTTAGCGCTAAAGGCGAAAAACCGATCGATATTCATCGTGAGATCTGTGAAGTTTACGGACAAAACATTATGAGTGATGGAATGGTAAGGAAATGGGTGAGAGCATTTAAAGATGGCCGCACAAATGTGCATGATGAAGAACGGAGTGGGCGTCCTTCGGTCGTTAATGAAGATTTGGTGCAGAAAGTGGACGAAAAGGTGAAAGAAAACAGACGCTTACAATTTCATCATTGTGCGACTACTTTCCTCAATGTTCTCGTAGTGTTTTGTATCGCATTGTGACCGAGAACTTGAATTACCGGAAATTGTGTTCACGTTGGGTTCCGAAAATGTTGATGGATTTGCACAAAACCCAACGTTTAGGCAGTGCATTGACTTTCCTTGAGCAGTACCACAATGAAGGTGAAGATTTTTTAGACAAAATTGTTACTGGTGACGAAACATGGGTGGCCTACGAAACACCAGAATCGAAACAACAGTCCATGGAATGGCGACATTCATCATCACCCAAAACAGTGAAGTTTAAGCAAACAATTTCTGCCCGGAGAATCATGTGCAGTTTTTTGGGACAGAAAAGGAGTATTGCTAGTGGAGTTTCTGCCTCGTAATGAGACAGTCAAGGCAGCATCTTATTGTGAGACATTGAACAATCTGCGCCGTGCAATCCAAAACAAAAGACGTGGCAAGTTGAGTAAGGGTATTGTTTTGCTGCATGATAATGCCCGTCCACATGTGGCTAATCGGACCAAAGATCTCATCAAATCTTTTAAATGGGAAACTCTGATCATCCTCCATACAGCCCTGATCTGGCGCCCAGTGACTACCATTTATTCCTGCACTTGAAGAAACACCTGGGCGGTCAGCGTCTTCAAGACGATAACGAAGTCAAAACAGTTGTGATACAGTGGTTAACCAGTCAGGCGGCAGAATTTTATGAAGAGGGTATTGAAAAACTGGTGCCACGTTATGACAAGTGCCTCAATATTCACGGAAATTATGTAGAAAAGTAGATTAAGGTACAGGCTTTCATGTAAAAATAAAATTATTGCGATATCTTTGCACGTTTTTTTTAAATTCCAAAACGGTACTTACTTAAAAAACATGCCTCGTATTATAGTTAATAACTGTTTAGTATTTAACCAAAGTTTATACAAACGGTGCAAGTGGGCATTAATATTCCAGTTTTGTAGTAACAAAACAAAAATAGGAATTTTTAATAAAATAGGGAAAACGTACAATTTCAACAGATTTAAAAAATGAGAGAGAAATAGAGGAACAAACCTACTGAAAATGATGAAAATGTTTTACTGGAGAAACTATACCAATATTAATGGTATAGTCTGTCTTAAAGTGAATGAATTATTATTAAAATTACTTACCCTTCGTTGAACTCTGAAATCGTTTGGTGGATGAGTAGGCCGAGGAAGACGCAGAGTGAGGGGCTCCACCACCGGCGGTTTAGGCGGTAGCGTCATCGGCGAAGGACCGGTCTTTATCGTGATTGGTGGCACTAGCATTGGCGACGCTGGAGCTGGTATAGTCTGTAAAAAAATTGTTATATTTAAAAAATTGTTCATTTTGTATAATGTTTTTTTTTGTTAAGTTTATTAACTTTATTATAGGCTTGGTGCATTTCAGTTGATTTCAACAAATTTCGAACGCAGCGCTTCAACAGCAGAAATCAGAAATTATCAGTATGTATTTCACGCCGCCGTATGTTGATCTCATTAAATTAATATTAAAATCGTGGCTTTGTCTTAATATTTAGGTATTTTAGTTTTTTGCTAGTGCAGTTATTGAGACTATAAAACACTCAGGTACAAAGTGTTTTTTGTGTGATGTAACGCTGTTTCAGGTAGTAAAAAATAAGTGAAAAAGAATCCGAACTACGCGTCGTTTTTTTTTCATGTGACAATTTCAAATGTTAATAAAATTGTCGAAAAAATGAATGCGTAAAGGAGAGCGTAATTAGGGCGTTATTGGATGCAATAACATTCAATAACTCAACTATCCCGGATATTCAACTCTCCCGAAACATCATTTTATAACTTCATAGTTTCTCACACCGATTTCATCAAATGCAAAAATGGATTCAAGAAGTTTGACGAAACAAGTGAGTAAACAAAGTGCTCGTTACACGATCAAAAAAATAAATAGACATACTATGAGAGGATAAAATATAATTTGCAATATTAATGGTATACTTTTTTTAATCAACTAGTGATCAAATATTTTATGAACATCTTCTAAAATTATAATTATGTACCTTTAAAATATTTCGTTATAGCCGAAACAGCCCCAATTATGACCCCACTAGGAAAACCAGTGATTAAAACTATGCTCAATAGCGTAGTTGAACTCACCTAAAAAGTTTTTTTAGCTGAAATAATAAATTATAATACAAGTTAGACCTTCTGAAGATATCAAAATATCTACTTTTTTATTTATATTTTTAGAATTTTCACAAATTATACTTCCTAACACTTTTAGAATAAATATATAATACATTTTTCGTATACTCGCTATTTAAACCCGTGCATTTGTTTACGATATTCTCCGATGGGGGGGCAGCACCGGCGGAGAATGCACCAAGCCTATACTACGAGTTAAAATATTTGTACTTATTTCTGGGACACTCTGTACATTCGCGTAGGATACGACAGAGAACAATAAACTTACCTTGTTCAGTTCCATCTTACTCCTTTTAGGTTTATCGTTCTCCTCGTCGCTGGAATAACCATAGAATTTATTTGGCACTCTTCTTCTTTTTGATGCTCTCAAGCTCGTATCCGAAGCAGTGGAATCCTGACGAGCTAAGACGGGCATTTCCTAAAATATTTTTATTATTACATATTTTAATTCAGAAGAAATTTAATTATAGTCTTATCCAAGGACTGTATATATTCTAAAGGACTGTTCGATCGCGTCAAATCGCCGCTGTCGTAGTCGCCGAGGAATGCTACGTCACGCGCTGACCAGCGCTCCACAGTGCGGCGGATGGTTATTCTAGCGGGACAAAATCTCAAGAGCAATGTTTGGGACTTAAAATCTAAGAACGTAGCAAATGGTCTAATATATAGAGTAAACGCCACGAATGTTTGGGAATGATTCATCGCTTGATGAAGTTAGAATCGACACGCCCGCTATCATTTTTACATTAAAAACGTAAATTTTTACCGCAGACGTAGGTTTTTAAAGGCCCGGTCTAATCATCTGCCTGCGCTCCTCCTACTTATTCTAAAATGTTAGCGTGATTGACAAAGACGATACTATATCGCGTTTCTTTGATTGATTCGTTTTTGTGCGTCAGTCCATTGGTGTGCTTGCAGTGCGACCAATGGGGCATTCCATTTTATATTTATCACCAAATATATGTTTTGACAAGACTTTGATAATTAAAACAACAAATTACAACAGATTATATATTGATTATTATATGACTTGAAAGACCACGGCAGGAATTAAGTTTTATGCGACCTTGAACAGATTAGTTCACATGGTAGCGACCGATGAATCACTCCCAAACATTCGTGGCGTTTACTTTAGCAACTATATGGTTAAATTTATTTATTTATTAACAACTTAATTTATTAATAAATAAATACAAGGATTCTAAACTATGATATTCGTACATGACACACAAAAACCGTATTGTAAACTATTGCCAAATACATAAAAATATGATATCAAAAAACTCTTTAGCAGTTTTTTTTTAATTAATTTGTAATCTTGTGACACCTTCTATAATTTATTTTAAAAAAATATATTTTATTTTGAAAATAATAAATAAGATAGGTAGATATTTTAATTTTAACACTCGGTAATTGTAAATTCATATATAGTAAGTATCGAAGACAATTTTTTAAACTCAATGCCTTTTGATGGAGTTGTTTTGTTTTTATACTATCCGATTGAAATGAATCTTTTTGGGCATTCACCTGTTAAGCTTGAACTCCCTGTGATTGTGACTACCTGTGTTGGTAACTATTAGTAACTCATAGTTTATTATATCTATTAGTAACTCAAAGATCTACATCATTCAATATATCGATATTTGAAAAAAAAGTGAAAGTTTGATATCTGCAGAACAAAGGCATGAAGGATTTTAACAAATAATATACATACAGTAGAAAAGTACATACCTTTTGCAATCTTCAACATAATTTGGCTTTCTAATAAAATGTATAAGCACTTGTAAATATTTTGTTTTCGTATGATCTCTGCCTTGCTGAGCAGAAAACGACCAAGTTTAGTTGATAAAAATGTATGGAAATACAAAGAATATTCATGCATTTTTGTATCAATTGGAATGTCTACTATTTATTCTTATCAGTACACATTTTTTGGTTTATTTCTAACCAAACGCTTTTGTCCCGCTAAATTTATCTTCCAACGCACTGTGCGCTCGTCCGTCAAATGCAAAAATAACTGTCACTGTCTAAAATCTTTAGCGCCAACTTCAACTCGGTCAGTAGATGGCGTAAAAAAACTGACAGTGCAGGAAAATAGGAATCGAACTATCCTTATCTCTATAGTATCCTTGAGTCTTATCCACGAAAGATGACAATTGCGTCAGAATCAATGACTAAAGAATACAAGGACAAATAAAACCCCAGACCAAAATATTACCATTCTTCCAAACAGTGCCGTGGCACATATTTAGCCGCTTGAAGCGATATTTATATTTTTGATAAATATTTTCACTACACCTATGGTGTATCCAGTGGTATCATACTATTTAATTACGAAGAAAATGTATTAAAATGTAAACAGAAGGTACAAAACACGTATCGACGTATATCAAACTCCTAGTTCTTTCTTATCATTGCGCCTTTTCCACTTGAAAGCTGAACAAATTACCATTGTAATAAGGTTTATACAAAGTTCACTACACACAACCAACTATTAAAAATCACTAAAATTGTCGCTGATGACCAGCTGATGACTCATTCATTACTTCCAAGAGAATGGCGTCTAAGGTCACAAATTCTGCTGCAGCCCGTATATGGGCGTTACATATCCTTGTATTCTTTAGTCATTGGTCAGAATAGTTTTATTCGGAATATACTGTAGATATTTTTTGTCTGGATTCATTCAAAATGGGGAGAATTACTGATGAATTTACCACCAATATATGTTCATTCCTTAGTTTGTTAGAATATCCTATGTGATCCAATCGTCATCTTTTGTAAATAAAAGTGTATTTTACTCACAATAGAGGTATTTATCGGCGGGGTTTGTGGAACAGGCGAATTTCTGGAAAGAGATAGAGTTATGGGAGCAACTGTTGGAGATTGTCTCTCGACTTGATGGAACTGCTGATAATATGAGGGAGTTGATATCTGTGGGGGATTGGAGTCCACTATTAATGTAGAAGAATATGTTCTTTGTTCTAGGGGTACTCTTTTTTCGCTCTTCTTCTTTTTCCGCTTTTTTGTTTTCTTTTTCTTCTTGGGTTGTTGTTCTAAAATAAATTATTAGTTAATTATTATTGACTATTTGTATTATCCAAATTTTGAATATAATTAATCTTACAAAACAGTATTTTTTTTTAGTTTTAATCATCTGCTGGTGATGCTATTACCGAAACGCACGTCCAGGACAAAAGTAAAAGTGTTTTGGAGTATTGTAGTGAATTAGTGTTTTATAAAATAGTGTTAATTAAAATTACTTATAAATAAACATGAGTGAGGTAACTGACAATAGTTATTAATCATTAAATGATTAAATACAAAGACTAAAAAACGAGTCAAATATGGAGCTATCAACAATGACTGAAATAGTTGGCAATACTGTGTTAATACCGGATTTTATTATTAGTAATTGGTACAAATTCTGAATCGAAAAATTATAGCAAATTGTCAATTCATTGAAGTCAGTTTTTTAGCTTTTTTTAAAATACAATCCTTGTATTAAAAAAATAAATGGCTTACCTTCCTCTTCAATTGTACCAGCAGGCGGCGTTGGTGGTCTACTGGTACTTTCAATAAATGAACCATTTGGTACCATATTTGGTCCCATTTCGGCTAAAAGTTGAGCCCGCTTTTCTTCCAATATTTTCTTGGCAAACATTTGTGGTTCCCTAAAGAGTATTTTTTTTAAACAAACTACATACATATTTTTAAACATGCACATATACATGATTCTCTGACAATATCATTTTGAAAAAATCTGGATATTAAAAGCAAAAGAAACACTACCTGTCATAAAATTCTTCATCAGTTTCACTTTCAGTCGTTTCTAGATCCGATTCGTTAATTGGTGTTTCTACAGCCACAACAGGTTGATCAACAGCTACAGTGTCAACTTTAGCCTCTAATTCTTTTGGAGCTTCCTTCTTTGCGTTTTTCCTCTCTTTCTTTTTCAAACGTCGTTGCTGCTTTTTCGTTCCTTATAGAATAATTAACAATTAATATTGTAAAAATGTCACTTTTAAAAGCAAGTTACTCTTTTATTTCAAATGGAATACCTAGCAGGGGCGGATACAGGAATTTATTTTATAGGGGGGGGCCCAAAATAAAAAGTAATGTAGAATATGCTTTTTAGGACGCCATTTTTATCCCAAAAGCCTAATATTTTACACAATTTACAGATTTTATGGGGGGGCCGGGCCCCATAGGCCCCCCCTCTGTATCGGCCACTGATACCCAGTATATCATTACAATATTTAATGGAGAATTTATGTCTCTTCAAAATAATATTAAGGTTGCCTCCTACCCCTCAGACAAAGATTTTCCAAGATATTTTAATTTTTATGATTTAGTGACAGTAGATCGTTATTATTTGATAAAATCTAGGTGACTGTGATATTAGTCCACCTTGTACAAGCAGTTAAGTATGTAGGGGGGATTGACATAAAGGAATTATTATAACCAAACCAACCAATCTGTATCAAGGAAGTCTTTGTTGCAGACTCTGCGATAAAGATCCTGAAACAGCGGAGCACATGTCACTCACTGCGATGCTCTGGATCGCAAGTGACATTTTTATTTGGGAAAGCTAGGCTAGAGCCAGAGGAACTATGCTCCCATCCTATCAAGGACCTGCATAAGTTAGTGCAGGGCGCAGAGATAGGAGAATAGGTGCAGATATAGAAAGGGGGCAAGCACAATAGGCCTTACAGGTCGCATTGTTTCCGGCAGAGAACGGCTCCTTGTTATTGGAAAAAAATCAAAATGAAACATTAATATATTACCTCCTTCAGCAGAACTGTCAGAATTTGAACTATCTGAGCTTGAGCTAGAACTATCCGAACTGCTATCTGAGCAAGAGCAACTTGAACCGCAGGCGCAACTAGAATCGCTATCGCTGCTCGACGAACTGGAAGAACTTCGTTTTTGCGCCGGACTTTTTTGCTCCACTATTTGAGGAATGTCTTTGACAGCTTCGGTCCCTTTAGGCTGTTCCGTCTTGTCCGATTCCGACTGGAAGCAATAGTCGTGGTCTACACGTTCCGCAGATTCCAAAGCCGGCTAGCAACAATTATAAACGATTAATATATTATAAAATTATAGAAACAATTAATTTAAAATTTAAATATAATAAAAGTATACAGAGTGACCCATGGCTCAGAAAAAGCTCAATATCTGCTTTTCAGTGTGAGATTTTCACTCCGCATATTTTAATAATATTTTCACAGTGTATTCAAATACCATACGATCGAAAAAAAACGGTGTCAAAGACGGCTAGGGAATGACAATCGATGATAATTTTGATGAGGTCAAGCCGGAGACGTAATTTACTTGACCCTTTACTCTTCTTTATTTTTTAAGACGGCTGTATTTTATTTTTATATTGAAGAAAAATGAGTTTTAAATGTTGTAGTTTAAAATTCGAGATTTTTTTTTGGAAATAGATTTGTATGTCTTGAAACGTTGTATCCTTTTTTAATCTTTCTATAATTACTGTTAATTTTTGACAAATTTCATGACAATTTTTAATCAATGACATCTAGAGATTGACCGCGCTAAAATAAACATTGATTACTATTCTCAGCTGTTTTCAACGCCGCCTTTTATCCATCATATGGTACTAACCTTTGAATAAGAAGACTAAGGAAGGAGCATAATGATCCATGTATTCATGTATGGTGGGCGGAAAAAGCACTCTAGGGTGGGGATCCTTGACAGTTCTGTTTGACGATTCATTTGACACATTTGAATTTGATTTGAAATTTTGTGGATTTGTCAGTCTTTACGGAGCTTATTTTATGTTATTTATTATTTATTCTACTACTGATAGTTGTATAAAGGTAGTAAATCTAGATGGAAATTGTGGCAGAACTTAAATTAACAGTGACACTATCGCGATTTATCGAAAAAGACTCTAAAATAGTTGGTTGTGTAGCGTGCGGTAGATCTCGGCAACAATTGAGCAACTTTTCGCTAGTAAGTGACTATATAATATACATACGTGTAGTAAACCGATCATTTATGAAATTCACTTAAATTAACTAAATTATATACTTTTCTTGCATTTTAGCTTTTATTTATTACTTGTCAAAGATTAGATGTCAAAGAATTTAGATACGTTAATTTGACTTACCTGCTTCAGTAGCGTATCGGATGTTTGTGTTAATAAATACTTATTATAACTTATCTATTTTTATTAGAATTATATATTTTTATAACAATTTTAATAACTACCAACATTTATTCATAACGTAAAATAAAACAACAAATTATTGAGTCTACCCCACGTCTACCCTACATTATAGTTTTACATTTTTTAAATAAAATTAGAACGACACTGATAAACCGGAATTTAAGTCGGCCATATTTGAGGCCCATCGCAGTGTACCTAAGATTTTTGATATGCTCCTTCCTTAGTCTTCTTATTCAAAGGTACTAATGATAAAATTCTAGTTTTTAAACGGAATGTTTTATACCCAATTCTAACGAATTTGCAGTAACCTAAAACCTAATAATAAAAAAGTCCCATTTATTGCAAATTTTCTTGACACTCTGTATATGTAAAAAAAGTAAAACGAGCGCTACCATTGGTCACATATCATATAAAGAAAATTGAACTTAAAAACACTAAGAGAAAATCTAAAGGTGCGTTCACAGCGGCCGCGCCGCTCCGCGCAGATCATTTTTTTAACATATATGTACTTTTGTGCGCGCTAAAAAAATACACTTCAAAAGTATATGTTAAAAAAAATGTTTTGCGCGGCGCAGCTGGTGTGAACGCACCTTAACAATATCGTTGCTCAGAATACTGAGTCATCCTATATACTGTATGATCGAAAAAGAAAAAACGGCGTCCAGTTGGCTTAAAAATGAATATTACCCATATAATTTTACATATAAAATGACAGCGATCTTCATTTCATAGGCATTGCTGACGCCGTTTTTTTCTCGATGATATTGTACTATCCTACAGTCTGTCTACCAAAAGAATAACTGACAGTAAGAGTTACTGTTTGTCAGGTTAATTCAAGATAAATATTTTTTTTCCGCCAAAAAAATATATTCTCTCGCTAGATAGACCATTCATCGGACACTTTAATGGACAGAACAAAATCTCACAGACCAAAGAACTCACCTTAACCTCAATAATAGTATCAGTATCTTTACCCTGTTCCGCGCAATAGTCATGATCCCTAAGCGCCACTTGCCACGTCAATTCTTCCTCGACCATAGGTATAGGAATGTCGGGCACATAGGGTTCATCAGGTTTTGTGTCAAACTAAAATTTAAATAAAATAAATAATTATAACAAATGTAATAATTATAACAAATGTAAAACAAGTTTACTTACTTCTCCAATAAGCATATGATCTAATTTCTCTTTACTGGCCTGATAATTCTTGAAATTATCCCAAATATTTTGCATCACACTTGAAGAAGCATCGTCCACAACTGCTTGTTGTTGTAGATCTTCAAATTTTTCCTGTACTTGTGACTCGGTCACATTTGTTGGAGATTTTTGTATTGAATCTTCTTTTAATACATTTTGATCTAAAAAAGTAATTAATACATATATACAAACATACCGTAGGTTAAAAAAAAACGGTGTCAAAGAGGGCTGGGGTCGAGGTTAATCTCTAGACGTCATATTTACTAAAAATTGACATAAAATTTGTCAAAAATTAACACTAATTATAGAAAAATTAAAAAAGGATAGAAAAATTAAAAAAATTCCAAAAATTATTTTTTCTCAAATATTACACTACACCAGTAGCGGATAGAGGGGACACACGGGGCCAAGGTCCCCCCTAAGTCTATAAATTGGGTTAAATATTAGGCTTTTGGATTAAAAATGGCGCATTAAAAAGAATATTCTACATTACTTATTTGCCCCCCCCCCTAAAATAAATTCCTGCATCCGCCCCTGCACTACACCATTTAAAAATAATTTTTACTCAATATAAAGATAAATTACAACCTTCTTAAGGAAAAATAACAGTAAGCACTATTAAAAAATAAGTCCGCAGCCGTCTTTGACACATTTTTTTCAATTGTATCTGTGTGTGGTATAATTATATTAATTAATAATAAATTACCCTCAATTATATTATCAATCTTTGATTCAGCAATCGGATCTTTAACTGTCGTAGTTTCTTCGGGCTTTTCAGGTTCAGGCTCCGAATCACTACTGTCACTTTCTGATAGATTTAGTTCAGGAAGATCGTAAACATCAACTTTCGGTTTTACAGATTTGGCGGAATCTTCTGAATCTTTGTCCTAAAAAATAGAAAAGACACTATTATAAAATATTGTATGCCTGAAAAAAATCGGCGTCAAGTTGAACTGAAATTGATGATCAATGACATTTTAAAATTATACCTAAAATTCTACACATAAAATGACAGATCTTCATTTTCAAGACATCTATGACGCCATTTTTGCGATCATATGGTACAATTATTAAAAAAATAAATATGAGATTTTATAATTTTTGAAGCAGTTTGTGTCTCAGAGTCTCGTATTTTTTCCCTCAATATTATAAAAAATAATAAAAAAAATCTAATGATAATGTCAATAGCAACATTGCAACAAGATGACTGTGAGTGGAGTGGGCATAATTTTAACATTTAAAATAATAATTTGTATCAGAAAATAGTTCATAGAATACTTACAACCTCTTCTTTAACTTGTTCTGTCTCATTTTCAACATCGTTCGGTTCTTCTTTAATCTCTTCTTCAACTTTCTCTTCTTCTGGAGGTTCTGTATGCCTTTTCAAATGTTTTTCCATTAGTTTCTTAGAAATAAAAGCTTCAGTACAGTCTTCCCATGTACAAGCATGTTTCTTTTCTTCAGTATGTATCCTCTTATGGACCTTGAGTGATACTGCTCTACTAAAAACTAAATTGCACTCTTCACAGGTAAAAGCTGCCGGGGGAACACAAAAGTGGTAAACGTGGGGCCATTTCTTCTGCAGACATTTCTTGCAAAGAACACTTTCAGTGCCATGTTTCCAGAAAAGATGTCTTGTAATATCAGGCTTATTTCTGTAAAAGCAATTGATATAGTTATATGCTTGAAGTAAACTTTACGATTATTACCTATATGCAATGCCACATCTATAACAAAAGTGGTGCAACTTATGTTTCCACACATGGTTAGATAATTTATACTGACTATGACACATTTCTAAACATACATCACAGACATTGTGTCTTTTTCTTAAATGAACCATCAGACGAAACGACGAAGGGAGATCGTCACTTACGCACATGCAACATCTGAATTGTAAATTATAGTCCAATATATACACACCGGGACATAAGTGACATATAAGTTCGCTATAACTATAGAAATTAGATTTACACATTATACACAGTAATAAGTTTTTTGAGTGAAATTTTCTATTATGTAGGTAAAGTTCCTTGTGAACAGTTGTACTGTAGTGGCACTGAAAACACTCAAACACGTGAGAAAAAGTCACTGCCTCATCTGAAGCACCCGAGTCCAAATTGAAGAAAACTTCTTGCAACTGTTCAAAGCATTCTTTTATTCTTGAATTAAAGCTATCAGGTATTAGTTCTTCGGCTGTTATGCTTTTATTTATAGCAGAATATCGATGTTCTGCAATAGCATGCAAGCCAAGCTGTTTGCCATTGACAGCTATTCGACGAGCGTGGTTGCAGTAAATGCAAGTGGCCGCTGTTGCTTGAAGACATTTCTGAAGCAATATTCTGATATCCATTTTGTCAAGGGACAAATCTAATTCAATTTCAACAATTGGTATATCAGAATCTGCTACAGGATACTGAACTTCAGAAGTTGAGGTATCTTTTTCAGCAACTGCTTCATCTTTATCTGCTGGTAATAATTCTGAAAAGTAAATATAACATTAGTATATAAAAAAATTGCTAGTTAAAGTTTTACTTGTCTTTCATCTTATTAAAAGAACAAACAAAGATCTTAGTTCTGTCTAGACATAACATTTCACCCTGTGAGGTAAAGACTATCTTATACATTGGCTGCTTTGTCAAGTATTGTTTAATGAAATTGAAACAAAATAAACATGAAATTTTACTACAAAATTGTATTTATAGCTTAAATTTCATTTGTAAAAATAGTATCTTTTGGTAATAACCATTAAATATCTTTAAACAACTTTGTATTTTATGAAACAACAAAAATATTAGATTTTTAAGTAATTTATTAATGATGCTGTAATATATCCAGATTATTTTTTTTATTTATATATTTTTTCAGTTTAGGGAAAACAAGTTTTGCTGCAAAACTGAATGATCCAGGTAGTTCAACTAAAACCGATCATTTTTTCATCTACACAACTGGTTTAGTTGATTTGTTTTAAGACTGACAGGTAATAAGTTTGTTAAGAAAATGATTTGAGCGGCGCACATAGGTCATTTTCGCTAATTTAGGCGGTAATAAATAATGCCTTTAAAATTTAAATTATTTTTTAAAACAAAAATAATTTGTTTGGTAAGAAAATAAATAAATGCGTGGGATAATGATATTTTCTTTCATTTTATGCTTGTACAGGGTGTCTTACGAAATATATTATTATTTTTTTTCATTTTATTATATCGAACTCAAACAAAAACTGTAGTTCGTTACTTTTTTGTAAGTGAATTTATTAGTATCTAGAAGGTTTACAGAAGATGTACTGTATTAGTAATTGAAAGTAAAAATTAGCTTGAACAATGAAAAAAACAACCTAAAACATTAAACAAATATAAATAAAATGATAATAACACTATTTTACTAGAGAAATTTATGTAATAATATTTTTATTTAATCACTATCGATATCCTCGTCACTACTAAGGGTACCAACATAGTGAAGCATTTAGATGCGATACTCGCCGCGATGCATCCTACGCGCACGTTTTAAGCACTGTTTTAAAACAACGAGTAAGTGCGCGTAGGATGCATCGCGGCGAACATCGCATCGAGATGCCTCGCTATGTAGGTACCCTTTTAGAGACATAATATTGATGATCATCATCATCCTGACTAATATTTTTATCAAACTCTGATGCCTGTAAAGTAGGCTCTGGAAGTAAATTAAGTACTTCTTTGATAAGTGGTTCCTTATTTGACCGTGCTCCCACACATTTAGACAAAGAGTAATAATAATAATAATTACATTTTTTAATAATTTTCACTATTTCATTATAATGTTCGTCGCCAACATGTTGCCCTAAATTTAGCGTATTCAGAACAAATGGCAAAACAGATGCATTTTTTTCCTTCAAAGAATTGCCTTCACACCAAGCAGAAAACAAGAGAGATTTTTCTATTGACATGGTACCTAAAACAATATATATTTACTCTCTTGGCACATCTTGGCAGTTAAATTTAGGATAGATTAATCGATAAAAAGATTGTGAATACGAAAAAAATGTTCTTGAAATAAATCTGTATAAATCCTGAATTATAAACCTTTTTAAATACAAAGTTATGAAAAAAAACTATTTTTTTCTTATTATTAAAACATTGTATCTTTTCGCCAAGTCACAAGCTTTTTAAACGGATATTATTTTTTTTTAATAATAAATCTTACCTTATAGTATACAATAACACAACACTACTTTTTAAACTCACCTTCTATTCGTAACAACAAAATTCGAAACTTTATGAACTAATGACAGTAATTTTACTATGCGAAATAATTCAAACAAACTTTGACATTGTCATTCTGGCCATGGCCACTTCTGTTAATATTAAAATATAATATCGCAGATATAATATCTATGGGGCCCTACCTCCAAGATGAAATATAAAAAAATATTTTTTTCGACATTCAATTTTTTTATTTATTAATTCCTAAAATACATAAAATGACCTATGTGCGGCGCGGTGAGGAGCGGCGCAGCCGGTGTAAACGCACCTTTAAAAAAGTGATTTGCGCGGCGCGGCGCGGCGCAGACGAAGTGAACGCACCTTTATATGTTGAAGGAGTTTAACAAAAATATTTAAAATATTTTAAGATTAAAAAAATGCAATGAAATACCTGAATCACTTTTTTCTGGATCATTCTCATTTTCACTCTCAATGTTATCAATTTCCATCTCATGCTTATCACTTTCATCACTATCTTCTGGATCAGAAAGGGGCTTTGGTTTGGGTAATTTTAAAGAGAGCTTTGGTACCTTTCTTGTTTCTATTTCTGGTTCTTCAGACTGCTTTACATCCTGGTTATCGAAATTTTCTTCTATACCATCCATTGTGTTTTCTGTACTATTGTGATTATCTACAATTCCTTCAGATATTTTTGTTGAATCTAAAGAATCCTGTTCGCCCTCTAAACTATTGTCCGAACAAGTATCTTTATTAACACTGTGAGAAAAGTCTTTTTTATTATTAGTATCTTCAACTTCTGTTGTTGGAAATTTATCTTTTATGCTGGATGAAGATTCGTCAGCATTTTCACTAAAATCACTTACAGATTGTTTTGAAGTTTCGTTATCAATCAAATTTTGTTTATCACTGTCAACTTGATGGACTTCATTTTCTTTTGTATCACTATTAATAAGTTCATTTTCAAGATTACCTTCTATCTTCTTTTCTGAATGATTAGTAACTTCACTAACTTTATTCAATGTTTCTGACGATACCATTATAGAATCACCAGTTATATGATTTTCAGGAGCAATTACTTGTTTAATCAGTTTTGATTTGTTCTTAGTAGCTGATTTTTGTGGTATGCAATTATGGTAAAAAAAATTATCACCTTCGTTAAATTGTCTATTACATTCACAACATACTACGTAACAAGGTTCCGTGTAAGTATTATAAAAATCTTCTAAAGTATTTTTGACACCAGGTTCAAGGTTATGCCTAGATTGAATGTGTTGACATAGATCCTCTAACACAGAAAACATTCCTAAACAATATAAACATATGTAACGTCTGTGATACTCTAACATATGCATATACAAATTCCAGTTTTCGTAATAAGTGCCACAAGCTGAGCATAAAAATACTTTTCGAGTCAATTTAAATCCAGATATATTCTCATTTTCTATAGCTTTCTCTAAGCTCTGTACTGCATTACATTGCAAAAAATGATCTTGTAATACGTGTAAAGATTCGAAACCTGATTTTCCACACTTGGGGCATTTAAATTGTACAGCAGGCTGAAGTCCTAAGTACTGAGCATATTCTTTTAGTTTAGGCTTGGGTTTAAAACGTTTCGAACCTTTATTACAACTGGAATTTATTTCTTTACTACTTAAAATATTACTTGGATTATCTGTAGTAGTTTCCTCATTGGAATGATGTAATTGAGACAACTCAAACAAAGATTCATTAAAATAAGGATTTGAATGTGTTAAAAGATCCTGGGCACAATTTGTTTCACTATCTACTACAGAATGATCACAATCTGAACCAGTTTTACTAACTACTGTATCTACAATTTCACTGTTTTCATTAAAAATGTTACTAGTTTGTTTATCATCACTTGGTATAATTTGGTTTTCTACACTTAAATCGTCACACGGTTTTTGCACAGTCAAGTTACTGCTTTGATCACTGCTAAACAAGTCTTTTTTTAATTCAACAATTTTTTCTTCTACACTACTGTCTTTTTCACGAGACTCACTAGGGCTACCAACAATTTCATTTTCTTTTTCGCTCATGCGACGGATTACTTCTTTATTTTTCTTATTAGATTTTCCTTTGCCTTTTTTCTTTTTAGGTACACTTTCATCTATAACCAATGCATCACTTTCAGAACTGTAAGAGTCTTGATATAAACTATTATTTGTTTCTTCATATTCTTGGGAATAATCTCCATTAACTTTGGGTGAGCCTGAGGATTTTTTATCATCTTTAGCTTCAGTGACAGTCCCTTCAGGGAAATTTGCCATACTGGAGTCTATCTCTCCATTTTTTACATTTTCAGGTAACTGAATATCATTTACATGGCTTTCTAAACCATCTTCCATACCGAATTATCCTTTGTTCTTTAAATTGCCTACGAAAAAAATATATTTAGTATACACTGGTTTTAAATCACACTAAAACAATGTCAAAATGATGTTTACTAATAATAAATGGCAAAATTTCCCGGCCAGTAGAAAAACGATCATTACAACTGAAAATAAACACTTGATTGAGGAAAATAAGCCTCCGATTATGTAGCAAAATTATTAAGTAGCTTCAGGATAACTTATGAAATGTTATGCAAATGATTTGCGTTCAAACGTTTGAGAACGTAATTATATACTTACACTCATTGCTAATGTTTAATTATTTAATACGGACAAACGTATGAACTGCTTCGGCACATATTTTTAACAAAATTATTAATCTCCTCCCTGTCTAAAAAGGTTAATGTTAAAATGGCGCTGTAGCGAAGCCATGAGCATTTTATTTGCATTTGCGGTTTATGTCAAAATTATGTCATTACTGTCATCAGGTTGGCCAACATAACGTAATAAAAATATTAAACCATTTAAAAGAATTTTTCCAAATTTTAAATAAAAACTAACAATTTTTAAATCCACTTGCATTTTTTATTAAATCTACGGTCATTTCTATATAAAATTGTTAATTTAAAAAAACCCATATTTTTTTTTTTATTAAAAAATAATTAAAAAGTTTGGGAACTATTGTGTATATCTGGTTGCCTAATTTATCTCTGTGAAAAATGGTTTAAAGTTTATGGTATAGATGGCAGCATATGTAATAATTTTTTTAAAATATAATTGGACGATATTGATTTAAATTCTAATTTTTAAACTGTTTTTATATAAAAATACTAATATTACTGAAGCAATTGTAGTATTCTACGTACAGCGAAAATTTACCGGCTGTATCCAATAAAATTTTAACAAGTAGATATCATATAACGCTAAATCAAAATAAGCCTTTTAATTTTAGTAATTTATTGAAAGATTTATTTAAACAGCAGTTTCTGGAAACCAGACTGGAAACGAACGATCAGTTCAAAAGCAAATTAATTAGGTTAGCTTTCATTAATCACTTTCCTGTTGTTGGGGCCAAGAAGTAATTGAAATATCTTTCGCTTCGTGTAAAATATGTACATTTATTTAAATGTCTTATTTAGGCGTAGCGGCATCTGTTTTGTCTCGCCAAAGCCTCGCTCATATTTCTTCGTTAAATTTAAGCCGAAATTATCAATTTAATTTCTTGTAGCGCCACGAAAATATAAAGCGACGAACTTCTGGTTTTGCGGAAACGATGCAAATCGCTAAAGAAAGACGTTGTAATCAGACTGGCTCTACAAAGTTGTAATAAATTATTTGTGGGGGGGGGGTGCCTTTAGTCTATACAGGGTGTTTCAAAAAACATGGACCATCTCTCGTGGGGATGGATATTCCTCACGTAAAAATAAGATATATTTTTCATATCAACATATTTGTCCGATTCTTTTTATTTCGTAACTGCAAGTGGTTAAAGTCCTTTAGTCCAAGTGCTTTTAGTGATTTGAATGAAATTTTGGGCGTCAGAGTCCCTACAAGTGCTACATATTTTAATGCTAAAAAAGTGTCGATAGATTTATTAGGGACGTGCGTATGGGTTATCACTGGAATATTTTTCGAAAAAAAAACGTGTACGCTACTGACCTTTTTTCCTTTGATAGCAAAATTGTATAGGCCGTTTAATGCCAAATAAAAGTTGTGTCTTAATATTTGTGTAATTAGTTATAATTACTATTAGTTCAGCCTACAGCAAATTCAAATAAAAAAATAATGAAATTTAAGATAATTACAAAAGACCTAATTTTAAAAAATTTTGACATCCTGTAATTTTAAAACTATGATACCCAATGTTTATATAGGAACTTTTTTCATATTTTATGATGAGGAATCAATGAGTACTTATTTAAAACGTTCGCAAATTAATGATGTTAAAAATTTTTAATGGTTGCTATTAGACATGGATCAAAGCAAATTAATATAAATGCGTTTATCTCATCTTCTTCTCGTCCGCTAACTCTCGAAAGAGTATGATGACATCATGTCTCAATTGGTCGGATTGTTGTTCTCCATCCCTCTCTATCTTGAGCGGCTATAGAAGCCTCTTGCAGGCCGTGACCAATAATTTCTTTGGTTTGGTCCACCCAGCGCGTCGGAGATCTCCCTCTTGGTCGTTTGCCATTAATCTTCTCTTCGATTATGAGTTTTTCCAGCCTACCTGTTCTTCTCGAAAAGTGCCCGAAGTACTTAAGGTATCACTGGTTTATTTTGGTTGAAAGTCTTGTGTTAACTTTCAACCGCCTTAGAATTGATACGTTGGTCCGATGTACTGTGTATGAAATTCGCAGCATTCTTCTGTAGGCTCACATTTCGAAAGCATCTATTTTTCGTCTGTTTGTAGTTTTTAGAGTCCAAGTCTTTGATGTATAAGTAGCGATAGGAAAGATCAATGTGTTTACTAAATTTATTGCAGTCTTTCCATATTCGTGTTAGTTTTATAGTCTCGTTACGAGCTATTGCTAGTCCGCGTTTTCACAGCCTCCCTTGTTTATTATGAGGGATCCGAGGTAATTGAACTTTTCAACCACCTATGTATGGTGTAGTGTTCTTAGAGGTAGCACCTCTTGGGTGATGACGACCACTTCTACTTTGGTAGTTGGACATTGACCATTTGATCCTAGTAGCTCCAAGAAGCTGTTGTGCACGCAGCGGCCATATCCCGGTAAACTGCTTTGGTCGGTAGGCTAAACCTAGTGAGGGGGATAGAACTTATTGAATATATCTGGTAATTTCCCTGGATAATCTCATCTACAGTGTACAAGACTACTATGGCATGGACAGCGAACAAAGTCGATAGGCATATGTATCAGGTGGACATGGCATATAGTAGCAGAGCTGCGATTTAAAGCCCAAAGGCCGAATATAGAGACTCAAATCTATTTCGGCCAAGACTAAAGACACCCTCTTGTCCTTAAGGCGGTTGAACCCAATAAAGAATCAACGGCGTGAGGATCAGGCAGGCAATGGGAAACCACCTGATTATATTCCCTACAGCATATCATGTTTATTTCATCAATGAGGCCGAGATCGACAAGAAACAACAAGAAAATATCAAGAAACAACATTTCGTCTAACAATAAAGTCCTTCAAGGTATTTACCCCTAAACCCGACAAAACCAGTAGTGTCCGTGAGAAACCCTGAGGGTTGGTAATACTAGACACAGGGCATGATATCAGGATATAAATTACTATTAGAATTCGACGTGTATGGCGTGCTTTACGTTACACACCTTGTAATTGTCTCATTCAACCACTAGATCTGATGAAGGTTTACAACAGACCGGAGCGTCTGCGTTCCGTTTTATTCAATATCCGATGTCGAATAGAAATTCTAATAATCAATGTATCATCCGACGTGGAACAATTATACGGCACCGGGAACAATAGAGGCAGACCTGGTTCGGAGACATAAATCAGGAGTTTACGTATCCCGGATCAGAAGAAGAATTCGCTCGGTTATGCGGAGAATTTCTGCGGAGGTGTCTGGCTGTAGGATTTTCGTTAGTATTCCAAATTAATTATATTTGCCATGCGGAATGTTTTGGTTTTGGAGAAATAATGGAAAATTTGTCAGGTCGATATAACGAGGTTCATAATGGACATTTCTTTTTTTTTCATTCTATATAGTACCTTGATAGAAACTTTGGCAGCAAATTTTACAGATAAAAATAAGTAAATGAGTTAGTAAAAATTTATGTCCTAAAATGCTTCGTTTAGGAGGTATAGGGTGTAGAAGTTTAATTTTTATTGCGATTTTTTCCAAATGATTTCTGAACATAGGTCGATGAAAATTGGTCTCATCTCATGTGTGGTATGTGGTATTTTTTGACATGAGACATTTGTTTCTATGTTAATATGACTCCTAATTGTAGGAGGCGTCACCCAAGGACTGTATATATTCTAAAGGACTGTTCGATCGCGTCAAATCGCCGCTGTCGTAGTCGCCGTGGATGCTTACGTCACGCAGGGACCAGCGCTACACAGTGCGGCGGATGGTTATTCTAGCGGGACAAAATCTCAAGAGCGATGTTTGGGACTTAAAATCTAAGAACCCAGCAAATGGTCTAATAAATAGCAACCATATGGTTAAATTTATTTATTTATTAACAACTTAATTTATTAATAAATAAATACAAGATAATAAAACTATCGCACGTACGCACGTACGTGCGAGAACAGGCGTCATCGACGTTGTGTCACGAATCGCTACACTCAAGTGGAGGTGGGCTGGACATGTGGCTCGAGTGACCGATGGTAGGTGGACCAAGACACTGCTTGAATGGAGACCGAGAGCTGACAAAAGAAACCAGGGAAGACCACCAACACGATGGACTGACGACATAAAAAGGATCACCAATAACTGGATCTAGAGCGCACAAAATAGGCAACAGTGGGCGCAAATGGGGGAGGCCTATGTCCAGCAGTGGACGCAAAGGGCTGGCTGATGATGATGAATAAAACTATGATATTATTCGTACATGACACCCAAAAACCGTACTGTAAACTATTGCCAAATACATAAAATTATGATATCAGGTGAAATGCTTCCAAAAAATTCTTTAGCAGTTATTTTTTAATTACTTTGTAATTTTGTGACACCCTGTATATTTTATTTTAAAAAATTCTATTTTATTTTGAAAATAATAAATAAGATAGATATTTTAATTTTAACACTCGGTAATTGTAAATTCATATATAGTAAGTATCTAAGACAATTTTTTAAACTCAGTGCCTTTTGATGGAGTTGTTTTGTTTTTATACTATTCGATTGAAATGAAACTTTTTGGGCATTCACCTTAAGCTTGAACTCCCTGTGACTGTGACTATTATACCTGTGTTGGTAACTGAAAAAATCTACATCATTCAATATATCGATATTTGAAAAAAAGTGACAAATAATATACGTACAGTAGAAAAGTTCATACCTTTGGCAATCTTCACATAATTTGGCTTTGGAATAAAATGTATAAGCACTTGTAAATATTTTGTTTTTGTATGATCTCTGCATTCCTGAGCAGAAAATGACCAAATTTGGTTGATAAAAATGTATCGAAATACAAATAATATTCATACATTTTTATATCAATTGGAATGTCTACTATTTATTCTTATCAGTACACATTTTTTGGCTTATTTCTAACCAAACGCTTATGTCCCCCTAAATTTATCTTCCAACGCACTGTGCGCTCGTCCGTCAAATGCAAAAATAACTGTCACTGTCTAAAATCTTTAGCGCCAACTTCAACTCGGTCCCTAGATGACGTAAAAAAACTGACAGTGTTTTAACAAAGGTTTTAACCATTTTGAAGAGTAGGTAATAGCTTTTTTTCATACCTGTATTAAAGTACTGAGTGAAAAATATACATTTCCGCCATTTTTTACTTATAAAAGTTCAGTCAGGTTCAGTT